AATTTATGTATTCCTTTTTTTACTGCATAGACAGTCTACATGTACATGTAGGTCTAGACTATTAAACTAAAACTTAGTAATAGCGAACTTGCAGCATGCAGTGGCATTTTACATGTAAGTTGTAAGTTAGTAGACTACAAAGATTTTACAGGATTTGAGGTCACTGTGTGACTGTACTTGTGTTTTAAGTGTTTCGGGTCTTGCCTCTTACTCTTAGCAAAGCCACAAACAAGTTTGTCTTTGACTTTGCATAATGATAATTCATTGCAACTTGCAAGTCATGCCACATTGCAACATTCCGACGGGCGAAAGTGCAGTGCTGAGCTGAGTGGGCCAGTGTCAAGATCATGCTCGTCTTTTTCTTATGACTTTTTCGTTAAAAAAATCCCTGGTCACGTTTTTTACCTTTCTGTGGATGTCAAACCCAATTACATACACGGTAGCCCACATTTTTGGACACCAATGATCCGATTGACCAAGACCCGGGCCGAGCAAAGCTAGCCAAGCGATTCACCTACAGCTACGCCAGGGACAGTCGGCGCATGCCGCCTCGGATGGCTGGAGAGCAAGGACCGTAGCTTCTTCACTACACGTACCGGTGACGGTACCGGTACTGCGCAAAAAGTGGGTCACTCACATGTGCGATGAGTTTTCATTATTTCAGAGCGAAATCGAGAACAAAAAAATAGACACCATACATCACATGCACACACACAATCATTTAATCACTAAAGCTTTCTTACCAGAATATTTTTCGCTCGGATTTTTGTGTTCTGTTGTCAGGATAACTTTACGTCTGATGCAAAATGTGCAACTTCGCAGCGGAGCGCAGCTAGAGTTATATTAGAACCTCTCTTATGGGAAGAGCTATAGAGGGCGCTCCACAACTTTCCGCGGCACTGATCATCACGCACTGGCTGCACTGGCATAGTCATCGCCGTATGAGTTGTGATTGCTGTCGTCATTTCAGTGGTCGCCGTATGCTGCTGTTATGGCATGCTTACTTAGTGACGTAATGAGCAAAAACTTTGGGGGGGGGGGGTCAGAACAAAATCCGCGTCACCACCAAGTATTAAAATGCAGGGGCGGCGTAGCGTCTTCCAAAGCAGGGGGGGGGGGCATCAACAAAAAGGGCACTTTGTGGGGAAAAGGGGCATCTACAAAGGGAAATATTAAAAAAACATACACCATTTTTCAGAAACTAGTATAACCTACCCCTATACATCGTCTTGATTGTGATTACACTACCAGGGATGTAATATTAGTTCCTTTCTTTACGTAGTAAAAGAAACTTGCAAGTTGCAACAAACTTTGCACTAGAGGTGATCGATGGTCTGAATACAAATTTTCGAGCGAGCCAAGCGACTGAGCAAAAATTTTAAAATTTGTGAGGTCCCAGTGCGAAAAATTACATCTTATAAAGAAGACAAAAAACAAATCCTAATGAGTATTAGTCACAATCTGATGAAGAAAGATTAAACAATTCTTTTATAAGTAACATAGTTATAACATCTATAAATGCGAGCGAACGTAGCGTGCAAGCTCTTGCGAAAAGTTAAAAAAAAAAGGAGCTGTAACTCCCTTTGAATTAGGGCTTTGCATGTTATGGAGAAAGGGAAAGTAGGCACTTATCAGAAGAAAAAGGAAAAGTTATTAGAAACGAAAAGGTGCTCGTGTCAAAGTAAAAAGCGCAATTATCAGAGGTGAAAATAGTACTTCTTGCACCTGCAAAGGGGACACTCAATAGAGATTAATTTAAAAAAACGCATTAGTGAGAATGGAAATGGGAAATCTGTTGAAGGAAAAGGGCAACTATCAGATTGTAATAGGGGCATTTATCAGATGTTTAAAGGGGCATTTTGAAAATGGGAAGGGGCTCATATAAAAAGGAAAAGGGCCACTTATCCGAAGGAAATATGGTGCTTATTAGAAAGGAAAAGGGGCACGTGTCAGACTGAAAGGGGCACTTATCAGAGATGAAAAGTGGCATTTAAGAGAAAGGGAAGGGGTTCTTATTACGAAGGAAAAATTGCACTTGTTAAGAGGAAAATGAGCATGAGTCGAAGTTTTTTTTTAAAAGGGGGCAAAAGTTTAAGTTGTTGAATGATTTGAAGACTTTGATCCAGCTGCACTCTTTGTTCAAGGGTGGGGGACACAATATCAAAATGTCCCCCTCCCCCATATTTTTGACCTCCTTTATCATTAAGCTGCAATGTGTAAGACCAAACCATGTGTCTTGGCACCAGGGGCGGCGATCCCGGGGGACGAGGAACACGTCCCCCCCCCCTCCCCTCTTAATTGATTTAGGAGGGAATTTGAAAATGTGCACACACAAAAAATGTATAGCAAATACTGAATAAAGACTGCAACATATTTTCATGCTCTGGAGATCCAAAAAGTGCAGCTACAAATAAATATGCAAAAATCTTCTAGCTCGGTAGCTACGCTCCCTCGCATATCTTGTTTAAAAAAGTGAAGTGTGAAAAAGCATGTTGCTTGTTTTTGTACTATATAGTTCAGCTAACGAATGTAAATTTGTAATACAACAAGCCTTAAAAACCTGTCAGGGGTAGTCACTTCCGTCACCTTCACCCCTCTCATTACTATACTCCCTCGCACACGCGTACTGATGATGGGGGAGCATTTCAAACGTGGTTTATTTCTAATTCGATACCAGCGATTTACAAATGTTGCTGAAATGGCCTGGTTTTTCCCTGAGCTTCCGAGGCTCTGCCCTCTGGACCCCACCAAGGGCCCTATAAGGCGGGACCTGCATGGTTGCTCATCCGACCGTAATTAAATGCCACAAAAAAACCTGAGTTACATGGGGCTTTGTCCCCGGACCCCACGCCAATTTACGTTCTACCTTGAAAAAGGTTCAGCGTGGCCTGTAGGTAGCATGTAAGACTGGGGGTGATGCGGATTTTTTTTTTTTTTTTTGGGGGGGGGGGGGAGGAAAAAAAATCCGCACCCCCACTTGTGGTAGTTACAATTACCATTACACTCACTCATTACACCACTGCAACCTCGTCCCTCGTATTTCGCCCCCCCCCCCGGTCATGAAAAGAAATCGCCGCCCCTGCTTGACACACACCTTTATCATGTGTTGTATAATGCAAGGGCAAGTCTTATTACTTGTTGGGTTTTAAATAAAGTGTATACGTATAATTATTGCATGAGAAGCTAAAATTGCCATTTGTAAAATATCACTTTGGTTTATAAGCAATTACTAATCCAAAATCATTTACTTACAAGAAAGTAGTAACTACTTTGGCTTAACAATTTGGTATTATTTACTTTTTGTTCTCATTACTGAAAATCAATCATAATAAGTAACTAGTATATGGTTATAATTAAGTCGTAATATAAACCATTGGCGGATCCAGGGGGGCCGGGGCCGTGATTTTTAGCTTTTTCGGAGGAGGCCCCCCCCCCCCTCCAGTTGATGATTTTCAGTCAAATTGTCTAAAAAGTATGCACCAAATCGCGCCAAAAATGTTTGAAAATTCAATTTTCTTTCGACTTCTGAGGGGCCCACATCCCCCCCCCCCGTCCGAGCAAGCGCGGAACGTGGCACGTCAGCGCCACTTCATTTCTTACTTCAGTGCCCCCCCCCCCGAGTCCCCACTAGGCATCGTCATTCGCCAGTCAATGTTTTTAAGTCCAAATTCAATGACCACCGCATGGAAACAGAAGTGTATAGTTTAAACTAACTGTTTGACCCTGTCCCTGTGTGAGGATTGATTTTATGATTTTTTTTTTTTTTTTTTTTTATATGATCAGAAAGTTAAAGGTAATACAAAGTTTTGGGTAGATTCTGATAAATTTCAAATAGCGCCTACGGCCGTACAATGGTAGCTGCGACCATGAAAATCTCAGAATATGTAGTTGTGATATATAATCTCCAAACGGGAATAGCTTATCGGTCGATTTTAGTCAAGAAACATTGTTTTATAGCTTAATCAATATCTTGACCTTGAAAGGGAGCTATATACAACATAAAGAGTTATCATTTACAATTTCATAACTAATTTAGACTCGATTTCAACCGCGACAACGATCACGCATTGTAGGATAACATATGCTGTTCATTTGAACTAAATTCATGACCCCATATCAAAACTTTGTATTGGCCTTTAGGAACAGAACTGCATTGTTGAATGACCCCCCCCCCCCCCCCCCCCCCCCCACTCAGTGGTTTAGGGTACGCGTATGCATGTTCCCTCCTTTTGAAAACACTCCCCTAAGTCCGGTGTGTAAAGTCAATACGGGGCGGATTTTTGTGTACTATACGAGCCGGACTTTGGTGCGTGAAAAGTACCCCTTTACCGGACATTTTGGGAACACGCATGCAGTCCCTCCGATCCCGGAGTGGGGGGGGGGGGGGGGGTTATGACAAGGTTTTAGACGTACTGATCGAGCGCCATCATAGGTAACTCGGAGGGGGCCCGAGAAACTATTTAGCGGCGAATGAGTCGACCGGCCGAATAAGCGGGGGGGGGGGGGGGGGGGTGGGAGGGGGTAGTGAGCACTAATTTGTTGTTTTACTACCCCCCCCCCCTTTTAGCAAACAATATATATATATTAATATTTTTGTTGATTTTGTTTAGCTTTTTTTTGCCAGGGGACGGTCCCGTCTTGTTTGTGTTTTTTTAAAGGTAAAATTAACGTTACCATCTTTTTTTTGTTAGCCTAATTTTTTGGCCAGGGGAGGCGGCGCGGGGCCCCCTGCATGTACGTCCTCGATCCCCTGGCCTGGATTCGCCACTACCAGGTATACGTCTATAATTAAAGTAAGAATATTATTATTATATTATTATTTTACATCTTAAAATACCTTCTGGGATGTCAAATGTTAAAAAAAACAATCAATTTAGGAGCTAGGGTCAACCATAATCCCTATCTCTTTCTATACTTACACCCCCCCCCCCCCCTTCTCCTCCTAGATCCTCCACGCAATATGCAGTCACAATTGGCGTTTCATAAGTTTCGACGTGTACGTACGTAGCTAGCTTAGTGCAGCGCAGCCAGACCAAATCCTTCTTAATCATATATTTAAACATCTAAGTCCACTTTCGTACAACCATGGCTGGTAAGTGATATCTTCATTGTCTAGGCTCCTTACTAGTATGGTTATTCTAGGCAATTTTATCATTAATAGCATATGCCTATCTGTAGTTTATTAAACATGTCAGAAGTTCAGAACATAAAGTTAAATCCACCATCAATCCAACAAAACATTGCCTGGGCTATGGCTTTGGCCTATGGCTATGTGCTTGGCATTTGCATTGTCATTGGCATGCCTAGACACAGAAAACTACTTGGCGCACGGTCGAATTTTGAAATTTGCTCCCCAAATACTGTTTCCATTGATCGTTATCAGGGCCTGGCTCCTGTTTCATAAAACTTGTTATCAATAACAAATGCTATGATTCTATGAAAACTTTGCTTGGATGCCGTGATTTCAGTAGTTTAACAGTTTTTGCAAATTCATTGACCTCTAACTTTAGTAGTCTAGACTATTCTATCAAGTTTTATGAAACTGAGCCCAGATTTTTAATTTTTGTTGTTGAGATATTGATCTGTGCGTTAAGTTTAGTCATGTGCAAAATATTGTCACACTACCATCTTATACAAATATGGAATGCTCTGCTATTCTGTGTAACAAAATATATGAATTGTGAACCGACAAATTCTGAATTTCCTGAAGCTGAGGCTGAGTGATGTTAATTCACTAAGCTGGCCGCAGGATGATAACCCTACAGTGCTATTATCTTGTGCCAATCACCTAAGCCAGAATTTAAAACTGTTTTAAACTGATGACTGTTCCCTTTACAGAGATTTCTGGCGAACAGATTGTAGGATTGACAAAGGCTTTCTACTCAGATCCTAAGAATCTCCTAGCTCAGAATGCCGCAACCTCACACGATCCTCTGGACTTCTGCATTCATCATGGGGCTACAGGACAGAACCTACATGTATACACACACAAAGTAAGTCTTGGCTTCATTCCTCATGGGAAGGTTTATCTCACAGATCTATAATCGATATAAGAGGGGATGTGTGTCAGGCACTTGATAAAAAAAGCTGTCACTTTTGTCTTCCAATTTAACAAAAAGTATGAAATGTATAGAAATTCATTGATTTATTTTTCATAATTCCATCTCAAGTTTCGTGATGAATGAAATGATGCTGCCCTTGATTGTATTATATGTTAATTTTTTATATATATATATATACTAGAGTTTAAGAACCCCACATAAATTATTCATTGAATAGGAATTAATTCCTTTTAACCCTGTTTTCCTTAGCAATAGATTAGAGCAAATTCAAAAGTCAATAGATAACTAATGCTTGTTTGATGTTTTATGATTGTTTCACCTGAAAGCTATTAAGCATACTGTATCATTGTAAGTAAGGAATCCCTGGCTTAAAGGCATCGTTTAACAAAGTTAATTCTGAGATGCATGGCCCTACGTGTTATCAGTGTCTTCAATATTGTATAATATTGAAACTCTAAACAAAATTGTGCTAAAAATGATCATGAAGTGCCTCAAAAAAGTAAAAATCTTTGAGAGTCCGGTTATACCATACTAGTTTTCCCCAATAGACTGTAGTGTCATGAAAACCGTTAGGAAAACATAACAAATTTGATTTCGATTTCCAATCATAAATATCTTGATAATCAGACAGGCGACTGGCTTGTAAGACTCATGGGGTTCCGGACTGACCTAAAGGTTTATAATTATGATTGTAGCATGATCTCCTCGCTGAAGGACTTGGTAATGAGGATTAAAGATAAAGTTGAGTTCTGGTCATGCAATTGCATTATGAAAGAAACATTGCGGAATCGGTCAGAAGAGGTTGATCTTCTAGCATATAATTATTAGTGTGTACTGCAAGGTTTTGAACTCATCAAAATGATAAGAAATTCGGCCCAGTCTTGATAAAGTTACAAGCACTGTACACAGAGAGATGTATATGGGACTACACGAACACGTGGCGAAAAAATCTGTCCTGATTTGTATATTGTTACATGCTATATTTAGAATATCAAGGCATTTGAAGAGCCATGCTTTTCATGGAACATTTTTAATATGATGTTCTTCCACACTTGCATAATAACAATGATAACGCTCACCAATTATTTTTCACCTCTTTCCAGAGTTCAACCTTCTCTTTAATGCCTTCAGTATAAAATATGCATGAGCATATTGACTTGGTTTTGGAGGTGGGACATCCCGGTTACTAAACCACCGCTCTACCACAAGCCATCGCTCAGGACTCTCCTCATTATTTTCTCATTTGATTTGTTTCTCTCTCTCCAGGTGGCCGAGGTCAAACCCATGAGCAACCAGCGTAGCTCCGGGCGTTGCTGGATGTTTGCCTGTCTGAACGCCATGCGTGTACCGTTCATGCGCAAACTCAACATAGAAGAGTTTGAATTCAGTCAAAATCATCTCTTCTTTTGGGATAAGGTGAGCTAAAATGGAGATTAATTGGTCCATGTTAATATATATATACATATATATTTCCTATTTTGTCTCATTGAAATTTATCTGCACTCGGTCTGTTATCAAATGAGGCCTAATCATTTTATCTTATTTTCAATTCATCACTTAGACCTGCTAAACATGAATGAAAATGGGAATATTAAAATGTAGCAAAGAATTTATATAGATTGGCACTCTACAGTATTATCTCATATTAAAGATTGTAGTCTACATTTGTTTCATTCTTGACCCTAAGTCTACATCGATTTTATTTCAGATCTAGGTTTCGCTATCCCTAATTAATAAAAGGAGAAAAAGGGCATGGAAATGTTTACTCGTGTTCACAGGTACCTTTTTTCTTTCTGATAATAAATTTAATTTTCTGTGTTTTATTGTTTTTAGATTGAGCGATCCAACTACTTCCTCACTTCAATGGTAGAGATCTTCAAGAAAGGTGAGCCTGTTGAGGGTCGTCTGGTCAGTTTCATGTTGACCAATCCAGTCAACGATGGCGGTCAGTGGGACATGCTGGTCAATCTGGTCAACAAGTACGGTGTGATGCCCAAGAAATGCTTCCCGGAGGCACACTCTTCAGGGGCATCACGCAGGCTCAATATAACTCTCACTACCAAGGTATCACATGCTCTAACAAATTTTCTCAAATAGTAATATTGAGGGGTCAGTGACACAAAGACGTAACTCCATTTTGGCCATTTTGAGAAAAGTGGTTTAAAGATAGAGGTCCACTTGGGCCTTAAGGAGTTAAGTCTATGTTTCACTAGCCATTGACTTCAATGGGGTGTTGGGTGGAGTTAAGTCTTTGTGTTTCCTAGGAAGCCCACATATTTCTGAACAATTTGATATCAAATACTCATTTTAGCAAAATATGGAGTTACGTCTTTGTGTCACTGAACCCTCGATATCTTGAATGTAAACTTTGTTTGAGCTTTTTTCTTGTAATGCATACTTTAGATAATAACTTTATAGTCACATTTGTAAAGTGATTAATAATGCTTTTATATTAAAGCGCTTGATATTGTAATTATCATTAACCTAGTCATTGGATTTGATTGCAAAATCACACGTGATAGTACCTCAGGAATTTTTAAAAATGTAAATGTATGGTAAGGGCTATTTTTTGAGGGGGGAGGGGGACGAGAGCTGTGCTCAAGAATGGCCTTGATCCATATCCTCCAATTTATTGGGAATATGGTACTCAAATACTTTCCTTGTGCAATTTTCTACTGCGTTTTTTTTGTGTGTGTGAGATTTATGTTGTGGTTTTTGTTTTATAGTGGTTTATTATTCCTTCATATCTGAACAATCCGACTACCGTAGTTTTATCTAGCCTTGGTCTTCATTTATATGTGCTCAGTTTTCATCAGTATGTAAACTCTCTCATTTTATGACAGTTACGTGATTATGCCAAGGCGCTGCGTGATATGGTGGAGAAGAAAGCATCAGACGCAGACATTGAGGCCAAGATCAAGGAACAGCTGTCAGAGGTAAGCTCAATTATTATTATTACTATTATTTATTCGGCAAAAACAAAGAAAATCATTGAATACAAAACAGGAGTACCTTTGGAAAAGAGTCACATGGATCACATGCCCTGTTCCCGTTTCTCACCAAAGAACCAGTAAACAGGGGTGAAAGGTGACAGGCTTTTGTCTTTAATAATTCAGGCGCTGACGTGTCTGTGCTGCAGGCTATTCCTGTAGACTGTTTCTCAAAACCATTGTAAGTACAAGTTTGCCGAAAATCCATTGAAATAAGTGTATAAAATTCATTACGTATCGCAATGAGATGTTGAAGAACTTGTACTTATGAAGGTTTGGTGAAACAATGCCCAGGCTTTGTATTTTACAGCCTGTACAGAGCTCAAACATATAGGAATCGCTCTTCAGACTACTTGAGTAAAAACCAGCAGTTATCCCTGACTGTATTGGGTACCAATATATGCCTTCAGACAAATTGAAGTGATTTACCAGAGAGTAATTCACTGTTTTCAATGCAGAACCAAAATTAGGAATCCCCAATTATGTTTCATTTGAGATATTGTCTTGCAAGACCCTTTACATTCTCACTGGAGCCTCTGATTGGTATTGTTAGAAATGATTGCAGCTCATGTAATATTGTAATATGAAGTAAGGCATGCTTTATTTGGATATGCATTGAAACCAACTTTTATGCTTTGCTTTTTTATATGATGCTTTCAATCTACATTTTTGTTTCTGTGTTTACGGGTAACAATGGCCTGCGTAAATCAAATTTAAATTCATTGTATTTGATCATGAAGTTAAACAATCTGTTAAATGAGATCCATGTTGCAATTGGTATTTACAAAGAGGCAATAAGGTGTTTCATTATGTTTGCTGGAACTACATACCAATCATGTTTGTTTTGTGCACTGGTTAGGAAAATCAAAGTCCATAGTTCAATTCCTTTCCAGTTTCCACACTTCCGAAAACAAGAAATGTTGTATTATCATAAAACATAGGTAGTCACTGAACTTAAATCTCAAACCCTCTCTTAAAGTTTTCAAATATATTGTAAATGTTGCTAGAGTTAGAAACTAAAACAATGATAAGGCGTCCCGCTAAATTATTTGTGAGAAGGTGCTCTTTTCATCCCAATATAGCTTGACTAATCAAGTGAAAGGAAAGGATAAGCGCTTAATTGTAGCATTTATATTGATTTTGATAGCAGATTGTCATCTCACTATCTGTATGGTGTTACACTGCTGTTTTATAACCATGTTGCTAATTGACTATCTCAAATAGTGGTTGTCATCACAGAAATAATGTGCATGCACTCTCCTTTCTCTTCTTTTACTTCTTCTTCTTCTTCTTCTTCTTCTTCTTCTTCTTCTTCTTCTTCTTCTTCTTCTTCTTCTTCTTCTTCTTCTTCGTCTTCTTCTTCTCTTCTTTGTCTTCTCCTTCTCCTCCTTCTCCTTCTCCTTATCATGCTCTTCTTCCTTCCTGCTTCCTTCTCCCCGTCCGCGTTCTTCTTCGTATTATCCTCATTCATCTTCTCCTTCTTCTCCTCCTCTATTTCCTCTTCTTCCCGCTCTTCCTTCTTCCTGAAACAGGTCTTTCGGGTGACGAGTATCTGTCTAGGAATCCCACCTACGACCTTCACCTGGGAGTACTATGACAAGACCAAGACCTATCAAACTGTTGGACCAATCACACCTAAAGACTTCTACCTGGAACATGTCAAGCCTGTTTTCAATATGGATGATAAGGTAACTTAAAGCCTCGGTCACAAATGCCATTACGAACTGCTACGAACGCCGTACAAACAATTTTCAGACAATAAAAATTCGGGAAGACAATGGAAAAACAGGGAGATTTGTACGAACCTCTGTGACCGTAGCATAACTGTAACAAAACCATCTTAAGTTCGACATCATTCTGTTGAAATGCGTGTAAACTTTAATATATGCCTTTCAATGGGATGTCAGCGAACGTATACTTATGATGCACCAAGGCACTGTTTAATCACTTGTAGAAGTATGTTTCTTAAAAAAAATAGCCACATCCCTAATCCTAAACCTAACCCTACCTAAGAGAGCACACAGTACCGTATGCAAATGGTGCAAATTAGCTACCTTAGCAGTAGTTTGTTGCACATGGCTATTTTTAGAAACATGCCTCTACGACTCATTAAATAATGCCTACCGCACCAAAACCAAAAGTGAAAATAGAGCCCTGACTAAAACACTTTTTGTTGTAATCTCTTGATGGGTTTCCTCAAACAGTGTTTTGTTTTAGGTGTGATAATTATCATATTACCCATAGCAGTTCAGGGTTATTATTATTTGTGTTTTCCACTCTTTCAAAATTAGAAAATTTTAGAAATGTATGTATTTTTTTTAATTAAAAAAGTGTGTGTGTGTGTGTGTGGGGGGGGGGGGGGTTACAGGCACCCTTTAAAGTGACAATAATTATTGCTGGCACCGGTTGCTTAAATTTTGATGGAAATACAAGAGTATTTTGTGGCTGTTTCAGTAGTACTAATGCAGCAGTGGTCATGGCCATGAGTTGATGTTTTAGCAATAGATGTATCGTGGTGGCAGTGGTAGCAGTAGCATCAGGAGTGGCAATGGTAAAGATAGCAATAATGTAGTGGTGGTAGTAGTGGTGGTAGATGCAGTGGCAGTAACAGGAATTTAGAGGATAATAAGTAGTTGTAGAGTAATATTCAGAACAGAAATATACGCAAATGTATTTAGAGAATCCATAATAAGTGAGCTTTCATATTCAGAGCACTAGATTCATGCATGGAGTGTTCATTGATTATGCAATGCGATTCCTACCTCATTTACACCGAGTATTGACAAAATTTGAAATTGATTTAAAGCCTTTCTTACACTTCACAGGTATGCATAGTGAACGACCCCCGACCTAAGAAGTATGAAGAGATGTACACCGTAGAGTACCTAGGCAACATGGTCGGCGGCCAAAAGACGCTCTACAACAACCAACCCATAGATGTACTCAAATCTACTACCCTCAAATCAATACAGAATGGAGAGGTAAGGGAACAACTCAGATCATGATTTTTCATTTTATTTCCAGGAACATAAAGGAGTATAACATTAACCAAGAATACAAGAAAATGAAGTACAATAATAAATACAATAAAAGAAAAAAACCTCATCAACTATTAAGCGCCTTGGGAAATTTACCACAAGAACTTTGGGAAATTTAAGAAATTAGCATTGTAATTCAGTTGCATGTATTTCTTTCATAGAACTGTTGTTTGTTCATCAAAATTTCAACAGTTGTTGGTGTTATCATTATTAAATGCAAAAATCTGCAGTGAAAATACGTCAGACGAAAGACTTTTTAATTCTATGTAAAGAATGTTTATATTCCTGAGTGTCCAGCAGATTCACATGGTATTTTCTTTAAAAAAGACTCTGTGTCTTGCCTGTAAATATAATCTTTGAATTTCCTCACCCCCTCCCTTCCCCTCCTGTAAGTGTAGGTTATCATTACTCTCTCTTTCATATTTCAGCCTGTCTGGTTTGGATGTGATGTTGGTAAATTTAGCACGAGAAAGACTGGCATGCTAGACATAAAAAGGTGAGTTGCTTTTCATTTTCCTATAATTCTGTATTTATCAATGAATATCTTTCATGATTAGAACTTTGAAACATGTTTTAATCATAATTGATAAAGAATGATTTACAAATGAATTTGGAGAAAAAAAATATAGTTCAAGTTTGCAATAGTGAAATTCAGGTTTGGTTTTAGTATGTCCTTGTAAGTTAAAAAAAATAGGGCTTAGCCCAGTGTCTCTATAAAAAATGAATCCTTGCTGTGGAAAAGAAATATACAGGAACTGTGAGCCGTATAGATCTGGAAAGTTCTACAAGGGAGGTCAGTCAAATTCATGAAAGTTTTGGCAGTTTATTATTGCCTCTTTTTCATCTGCAAATTTGTAAACCACAAAGTCAATTTTACAATTGCATCATTGTGAAACATTTTGTTTTATTTTAAAGATGTGATAAAGCATCTTAATATTCAGCATTTTCCTTGATATTTTTTATTTTATTAGCTTAGATTAAAGGTATGTGTCAGAAATTATTTTGAAAACAACTTGTCCTTGTCCTTGATCAAGCATCTTTAACATAATGGTTTTCCATTGATTTTTTTTAGCGTGGATTACGAGTTGGTGTTTGGTATTCAGAGCTTACAGCTAGACAAGGCAGAAAGGCTGCTGTATGGAGAGTCATTGATGACCCATGCTATGGTCTTCACAGGCGTAGGAACGGATGTGAGTTTGTTGAGTTACTTTGGGTCTTTTGCCACACATGTGTTTTGTCATTGTTATCTTTGCCATTGTCAATATCATGTTTATCGTATTTGTCATGTTCATCATCGTAATCACCACTAGTCTAATCTTGTTTCAATTTTTACCTTATCATCATCATGATCACTGTAATATCATCATCATCATCATTTTCATCATCACCATTATTACCACATCATCATCATCACCATCATCATCATCACCACCATCATCATCCCCTATAATCAGCATCATCATCATCATCTCATATTCATTATCATCACCACTGGTCTAATCTTGTATAACTTTTTACCTTTATTATCATCATCATCATCACCATATTTTTCGTCACGATCACTATATTATTATCTTCATCATCACCGTTATTACCATATCACCATCAATCACTATCGTCATCATCATCACCACCATCACCATCCCCCATAATCGTCATCATCACCATCACCATCACCATCATCATCATCATCATCATCATCATCATCAATAGCCAGTATCATCATCTGTTTATCATTGTAGTCATAGCTATTGATTAACCATCATCATGTCATCATCATCCCCCCTTCTCCTCTTCCTCATTGTAACCACCACCACCACCACAATTACCATCATTATAATCTCTAGATAATTAATTCCTCATATTCCTTTTCCTTCCCCTAGGGCGCTGAAACTGAGACCAAAACAACCAAATGGAGGGTTGAGAATTCATGGGGTGAGGATGTGGGAGAGAAAGGTAAGATGAAGCACAGCACAGCTCCCGATTCTTGATCTAGAAAACCAGATCTATCCTGAGATTGACAAAAGCATTTGCCATACAGTTACTAGACAATTACATTTAACAAAATCTTATATAGAGGAGGGTATAACATTTTTCCTACATTTCTTCTAGCTAGTTTCACTTAAAGGTACTACATGTATGTCCCATTTGCAGGCCAAAAAATGAAAAGGTGAAATTTTATGGCATTTGAAAGATAATATTAATATAGAACTTCCCTCAAAACAAAAGGACTTGCAAATGTCTTTAAGTGGGTAAATAACGACCATTAGTTTTCGAATTGACTTTAGTGATTGCATTCATTTAAGTAATAGTCTAATTTTTAGACCCTTGTACCGAATGGTCGTACGTTTTGTGCTTCACAATGATTCATTCAGTTTATTTTTGGCCATTACATGAATTGGGTTACTGATGTAGACAAATTCTCATGTACCCTTTACAGCTCATTTTATGTATATTACACTGTATTACCAAAGAAAATAAAGAAGTCAGTCAGTCACTCAATAGTGTCTGACAGTGAAGTCTAGAAAGTAAACAGGTTTCCTTGCATAATTTGAATATTAGGACACTGCTAAACATTTAAATTTCACAGATAGGACATACGTGACATGTTCATAATTGCTGCAAAGTTCTACAGAACTTGATGTTGGCTTCAAATGAGACAAAGTACCTTTCATACTTAAGTGACTGACACCAGACCGAAAAGAGACCAAACTAAAATTGAGAGTACCTTCAATGGTCAAGAATCGGTCATCCAGTGGCCAAGAGGTGGTATGGAGTTGGTTTAGCAGTTTGACTGTTATTAGTATTCTATTTCACATATTTTGTTATTTACCAAGGTGTTGTAATTATTTGAAAGCCCCACTGTACTACTTATAGCTACTTGCGCCCTCTATAGGGCAAATGCCTAATCGGTGCCTGTTTGTCCCCACGATCCCCTTTTTCTTATGTTAATTGAGAGCTGATTTGATGTCATAACCACCTGTCAGTGACCTTGTAGGGAGGTCTAATCCCCCTAGCCAAACTAGTGCAGACAGGCTTTAACGTTTTCACTTTTTCACATTCTCAGGCTATCTAGTGATGGCAGACGATTGGTTTTCAGAGTTCGTCTACGAAGTGGTGGTCGACAAGTCCTACGTTCCAGCTGAAGTCCTGGCCGTCCTGACGAAGGAGCCTGTTGTTCTACCTCCCTGGGATCCTATGGGCTCTCTCGCACACGCTGGCTCGTCCAAGCTCTAAACCTAGCCTAGCCTTAGATATAGGGAAGAAGCGATATGATAAATCATCAAATCCATTCTAATAGAATAGTTATATTCCGTATGTCACAAAATTAGGAAGGCACATGAAAATGCATCTGTTTCATTGAACTACTGTTTCATAGAAGTTGTTACACACTGAGTAGGACTATTCCAATCTAATTATAAACAGAGAGACGTGCATGATAAGAAACCTTCGAGTCTTGTACTTTGTCTAATAGAAATAGTAATATTGTCCTCGGTATGCACCAAATTTAGGAAGATTAATAGTTTGTATTATGTATCCCTGTATACTTTTGCATAAAAATCCTCACACATTGAGATTGGCTATGCCGATCTTATTCTAAACAGAGAGGCATATACATGTACATGATTAAAATCTTAAGAACAAGAGAGTCTTTCATTTGGTACCTGAAGATGACTCACTTTTATAAAGCTTTGAAGTTCCAAATGGATAAATGCTTCATATAATTTCCAATCTACTTGAAACATTAAACAAAGACTGCATAATGATATATATATATATATATATATATATATATATATATATATATATATATATATATATATATCTGAACTTATCTTCAATTTTTAACAAGATGGTAATATATTCCAACGTCTTTTCAGATATATGAGAAGTGTTACCTCATGGTATTTCTTCTTGGTAGGCTTATCATTGAAATAATGTTATCTTTGTGGTACAAAGCAAACTAAGAAAGGTTTGTTTCCAGGAGTATATGTGTACAATTTGGTAATATATTCATTTTATATCTACATTTCATGAAGTAATGATGTATCCCATTGTGACGACCATGTTTAACTATTATATTACACGATTTGGTAATATATTCATTTCATATCTACATTTCATGAAGTGATGCTGTACATCACATTTTGACGAACATGTTTGACTATTATATTACTCTGTAGCTTTCAGTGTTAATACTGTACTTGTTTGGTAAATACTGGGATGGTAGATTTTTTCTTCTTCTAAAATTGGTCATATGATAATGGAGTGTGTAGCTGTGGGCTTGTAGAATTATTACATTTTAACAATAGACTCTGTCACACATTGGTTTCAAGGTGTTAGAAAGGCCTGTATTCATACAAGCATACTATCTCAACATAGCACAAAAGGTCACAAGAATACATGTAGTTCTGTTTATTATATCAATTCGTCAACTCACAAGACTCGTTTGTTCAGATAGCAATATCATATTCCCATTTTGAAAATTAAAAGCATTCAGTGATTTTAGTATTAAAACGATAAAAGTTTTGTATGTATTTTAGACCATTCCTTGATGTAGTAAGTTGATAATACTGCGTTCAACTAGAATTCATTGGTATATGAAGCAGTAGTATAGATGAACTACATAATTTATAGTTCTTAAAATTTTCTAAAAATATTTCATTGTAGTATGGTTTGAAAGATGTGATGTCTAAATTTTTTAACTAAATTTTTAACTTTGACTACATTGTGGTATATGAATGCAATAATCGACCTCTTGCCTTGGGGGTAAACCACAAATAGAATCTGTCTGTAGTACATGTTTCTGATCAGAATGAATTGAAGTTTAGTATTTAAAGTAGTCACCCGAAGAAAATTCACGACTCACGACAACTGATAATTATGGACAAATAATTACTGGATGGAAATATTTTCTCTTGCAAAACACAAAGAATTTGCTGAAAAATCATTTAGATACACATGTATCATGGTACGGCGTAAAATGCAATTTTTTGTCTAGCTGTGTCTCGCATGTGACGTCACAAATCTTGACGCTCTACGGAGGACCGCTGAAGGCAGAAAATCTGGATCTCAAAATTAACATTTTTTATAGATGATTACTGCGGGCCCCAAACATATTTTGAAGAGGGAAGTTGAAATATTTGATCAGTAAGGCTTCCCTTTCGCAATGATATGATTTTTGCATTAATTCAAAACACTTTTGATTCTTCTGGTGACTACTTTATGAATGCATACATTTAGGATAAAGGCTTAATTGTGGGACTGGGCTTTTGTGTGTCCGGGCTGAAGTTAACATTTTTTTCTCTAAGCTTTTCAACAGTGTTTCATTCCTGAAATCGAAATAAAAGTGTTTTTTGTTTGAGTGTGAGTACAGTTATGCAGCTACCTATAAAATGTTTCAAGCCAATGATTTAAGATGTATGTGCCTTCTTCTCTCCAGGGGTGATAGTGAGCACTAAAAAAAAAATAGGTTTTTTGTTTTCCCCTCAACCACGCCCCCCTTGAGTAAAAAAAAAAAAAGACGATTCGCGGGGAAAAAATGGCATCTAACAACATTCCCCCCTTTCGAGTAAGAAAATTGAGACAAACTTGGGAAAATTGGGGGGAAAATTGGGGGAAAAATTGGGGGAAAAATAGGGAAGAATAGAGATAATAAGAGGGAAATCGGGAAAAAAAAAATTGGTAAAAAAAAAAAAAAAAAAAAAAAAAAAAATGATTTTTTTTTTTTTTTTTTTTTTTTTTTTTAAATCGGGAAGAAAAAAAAAATCGGGAAAAAATCGGGAAAAATAAAAAAAAATCGGGAAACCGATTTTAATCGGGTTTTTATCAGGCCTGTCTCTCTCCCTGTGGTCTCTGTAAACTATATATTTTTTTAGATTTTGACACAAATCAAAGTTGTATGTTTGATATGCCATGATCTATTGAAGGGAAGTCCACCCTCTCCAAAAACACCTTTCACGTAACAGTATCCCATTTTTCTGCCTTTATTAAACCAACTAAATATCAGGGTTAACTTCCCTTTAATATGAAAGTAGTTTTTAAACATGAATTTAGTAATACGGTAGTGACTAAAGCCAGCACTTTCCCACTGTAATTGTTATAATCTTGGGACACTTATAGATATTTGGTAATATTGAGGAATATATTCTTATTTCTGCACTCTATTTTTGAGGTTTGAAGTACCTTTGTTGTTCTCTCTATGGTTCATTTTTTTAAGTTCACTCCAGTAACTTGTCACTGCTTTCCTAAAGTAATACTCTGAATGACTTCTAATGTATATGTTTATAAGCTTCCTCTGGTGATTTGAGTATTGTAGTCTAAATTTTTGTTTTGTGTTTTGGGGTAAAATAGCTTTGTCTAAAACAAGATGTGTATTGTAGTAACTGCAATATCAGGTTTTTACCACTTTCCATTACATTAAGACAATACTACATTGTACTAATTTAGATAATGTACCTGTATTATGTACATGTAGATGTACTGATTGATGTACATGTAGTAGACTATCATATATTTATATAATATTGACTGGCCTTGAGGGTTATATCAGAAATATTGACCAAGCTCAGATCATATTGCCCCGAGTCGAAAGACGAGGGCAATATGGTCTTAGCGCGGTCAATATTTCTGATATCCCCCGAAAGTAAAGCCAGTCAATATTTTTATTGTTATCCAAATCAGACATCTAGAGCAAATACAGACATCCACCATGACAATCTCAAGAACTGAACAAACTTTGTCAAACCAACACTGTGCATCCAGTACTTGACAAAATTTTCGATACACTGCAAACAGTGTGTATTTGGTGTGATTATTACGTCACAATAGAGTGCGCGCAAAGTGCGCAGGTTCTCGTACGCATAATAGATGCGCAATGAAAATGCGACGCGGTCAATACAAGATGCCCGGATGCGAGACCGTGGAAAATACCAAGGTATATTTTCACTCGTCTCTACACGCAAAGTCAATACGCGCAGGGAGACCAAGGCAAATACAAAGAATATACCCCTCCGTTCCCACTGCTAGGGAAAACTAGGGCAATACGGTTTTGTAAATGACCAGCTCAGATGTCTGATACGGGTAATAATATAGTTTATTCTATATTATGTCAAATAGAGCAGGATATTAGATTTTGAGCAATTTGTATTAAAGTATGTGTACATGTGAGGTTGTTATTGGAATGATTTTCCTCCAGAATAAATCCAGTACCGATTCTACTATTTAGAGAAGTGATAGTGAGCAGTGTTTCTTCTTACTATATATCCTCTAGTCACTCTCTTTCCTCTGTTCTTTATTCTCCTTTCTCTGCCATCTCTCTCTCTCTCTCTCTCTCCCTCACTCTCCCTGTCTATCTCTTTCTATGTCTTTCTCTGTCTCCTTCCTCTCCTCTCCCTACCTCCTTTTTTCCCTTCGTCTCTGTCTGTCTCTCTTTCACTCTCTCTCTCTCTCGCTTTCTGTCGCTCTCTCTTTCTGTCACTCTTTCTCCCTCCTTCCCTTCCTTCCTCCTTCCCTTCCGTCATTTCTCTCCCTACCTCCTCCTTTTCCCTTTGTCTCTCTTTCTCTCTCTCCATCTCAATTTAAGTTTGACAGACAAATTTGTTTCTATCATTACACTCAAAATATACAAGTATAAATAATGGTTCTTTCATGTATTCACAGCGCCCATTTAGTTATGGGCCTTATATTTTCATGGAATCCATATTATAACAAAGAGTTGATAAACAGATCATTGATTAATAACATAGATGTATTGCACAATACAAACTTAAAAAAACTAGTACAGCTTAAACACTTTAACAACCAATGAAAAATGTTTTTTGGAAAGTAGAGTTTGGCCAACTCGGTACGAATTGGACACAATATGGCGAATACTACCTATTTGGGCAAGCACAAAACAAAAGAATAGACTGCATGTTGTGACAAACTGAGACCAAGTTGGCCAAACTCTGCATATAGATGGCTCTGACCGGTCATATGTGGATCAAATGTGTGAGATGAGTGAGGGAATAGTATGGAAAGTGTTCTTTCACAGGGCCTACCCATTTTATCTTTCTTTCTCTCTTTTTCTAATGAAAGCAAGAAGTTTGGGTTTTATATTTCTCCAAAATAACATATATAGCAATATATACAGGGAACAGAATGGAATGTTTACAGTCCAAATAATTATTATACAATCTTTAATTGATTTAGTTGTGGCCTCTTTAGAAAGGTCATACCGGTATGTCTTTTCAATTAACTTTGATTTTCCAGACATAAATTCATGTCAAGGTTCAAGAGACAACTTATAAAATCACTTTCACTTATCACATAATTACCTGTAACACAGAGTTATAAATCTCTTGAAAAATATCACTCAATTATAGGCACAGATCGATACACAACATCATACATGTACCTTCAAAGCCAGCATGTATACAATTTTGTATTATTTGGATTCATCTTTTTTGCTCAAAGTCTGTAAAGAAAATTTTAAAAAAAAGTAAACTTCTGTTAGAATTAGTGTATGTTTGAGAAAAAAATACAATTTAATATTCCTTTAGCAATATATGATGGCTGTTCAACAGTGACTAAACACACATAAATACAAATGAAAATATGGTTCAATGACCTGTCATTAAAAAAAAAGTAACAAGTTGATATACCAATAATAGTTGGAATTCTGCCTCATTTTACTGTAAGGGGCTGTCACTTCCTTACCATTGAAGAATAAAGCGCAAAAATACCTTAATCATTATGATTTCAGAGATATCATTCATGTTTTACTTGCATAATTCCTACAGGTGCGTCATATAATGGAAGCGTATTTAGGTAAGTCAAGCACCTTTCTGTCCATAAAAGGTAAATAAAAATAGAGGTGTGAAGGAAACCACAAATCATCCTAACTCATCTTTGTGGTGTAGTTTCTGTAGATGTCTGGGGCACTTCTAACATACTCTGTAACCAGTTGTGACCATTGATGATCTTGGTTGTTGCAATCACAAATTCAGTTGGAGCTGGAAAGATATAATAATAATGATAATTAGTTCATATTTTCCCAGGGTAGCCAATTTAGTATTAATACTGCTATCAGATAGAAGATATCCAAATCTGAATAAAATTTTGTGAGGTAATATACTGCTTTCCATAACTTATAAGTCCAACTTAGGATCTTTGTGAAACATCCCCCTGGTCACTAACCCATAAGTAGGTCACCTTCGAGAAATATACACCCAAGATATTATCTGGGGCACAGGGTGTAATCTACAAGCAAGGAATTCATCTGTCATGAAATTAACAAGAAATCAATGAGCAGAGCATCTTCCTACATTCCATCTGTCAATCAAAGAGTGATATTTACTATTCAAGCATGATGAAATTTACAAGCAAACTCTTTCTACCTTCCTGTGAAATGTACACTAAATCTGTAAACAAGGAGGAATTTAGGTCACAGTGTGCCCTTAAACATTTGCTATCTATTGATACATGGTAAGTTGTAAACTGAGTAATATCAGGGACTTTTAGATTTGCACAACGATGACATAGATTGCTACGTTCGACGTCCTTTTAATGCACTGCCTTGAATGGACATCACACGTATCAGTCCACGCAAATCTAAAAGTCCCTATTATAGATATATTGACATCCTGCTATGACCTAAGGTGTGCCGGGGCGGGCGGCACCTGTTCACATGTGGATGAAAAGTTGAAGAGGGATATAAAGACACTTACCATCTTCCTGCTGTGAGAGGAACCTAAGAGCTGCAATCTCAGCGTACGTGACCCCGCCCAGGAAGTAGATCAGCGTGACCTTTGTTGAATCACCTTGGCTATCTCCTATCATAGGCCCTAAATACACAATGGAAAAATCGAGTAGGAAAACAATTTAACTGGTATTTTCTAGGTTAGACCGAAAAAATCAGTCAATTTCGTTCTGGGATACGTTCCGCTGAGACTACGTCTGGCTTCACTGACGCCCTCTCGTAGTTTTGTAGGAGAGCGTCTTAAGACAAATTTTGTTTAAAAATCCTCCAAGCAAACAGATTTTTCAGTCTAATTCTAGGCAGGGCTTTATATTTGCTGTTTTAAAGGGGTCTGGGGAGTGTTTCACAAAGATTAAGATCGACTTTAAGTTGGACTTAACTATGGCATGCCATTCTTGCCACTGAATGCTCTCACCATTGGTCTCTCAATTTTTATCTTTAGAGTAACATTTTTTCCTTCACTAATGAACGATAAAAAAAAGTACATTTTGTAGATTTGAGATTATTATGTATGTCCCTTGAGAGACCAATGCCAGTAAATGGTCAGAGCAAACAGTGGCATGAACGGCCTGCCATAGTTAAGTCCAACTTAAAGGCGATCTTAGTCTTTGTGAAGCACTCCCCAGGTCTGTGAACCTTCAATGTCAAGTCATGTTAGCCTATGTCTTTACTTGATCACCATACGACACAAGAAGAACATCTAATTCAGTCCTGCTTTGTCGTTGATCTCAACCTTGACAAGACTTTTAAGATACAAATAACCAAACATGAGAAAGTTAAGTACTTTTACTTTTCTTCTGGAAACCTGTATGAAGTACTTTCGTCTCTTCTATCGTAGGCCAAACTAGTCTAAGGTCCATGTTTTATCAAAACATGTTATCAATAACAAGTTACAATAACTGTTATAATCTATCAAAATTGTGGCATTTGATTGGCTGAGAACAAATTTGTCATAGAAATTCAGCATTTGTTATTGAAAACAAGTTTAATGAACCAGGGCCCAGGACCTCATCTATACTACAGTTTCAGCATTGGCAAGATTTTAAAAAATACAAATAACCAAACAGGAGAACAGTTCGGAACTATTACTTTTCTTCTGTAGTCCTGTCGGGAGTACTTGTTTCTCTTCTATCGTAGGACCAGGAAGCAGTCTCAGGACCTCGTCTATACTACGCCATCCGGGCCTAGCCAAGAACTGGGCTAGCCTCACAGACAGAGGGGCGTAGCCACTGAATACGTAGGATATATCTGTAGGGTTCTACGATTGACAAAAGAACATTCGAATAATCAAGGATAACTTTAGTGCATGACATTATGTATATGTATATTACATATAACTGAGCTAAATTAAGGCAAGAACTGACAATTTCATTTCAGAAACACACCCATTTTTTAGTTTTGCAGGGTTTATCTGATTTACCTTTGAATTTTGAAAATACACTGTGCCACTTCATTGTGTCACGACACATATTTGTAGATATCCTTTCTTTAATTTGGCACAAAAACAATATTATGCAAGAGAAATTTACATGAACTTTACATAAATGTATATTCCTTTAAATCAGTAGGAAGAATATACTAAAGCTTTTCTTTTCATTTGTCAGTGGGATTTTATGATCTAAGGATTCGAAAAGAAGGTTACATATTAAAGGTTTCACTAAATGTCTATAGATGCTAATACATGATCAGACATCAAATTTTCTATCCATACTTTTGAGTACACCAACATCAACGACCACAACACACCACAATATTGACTCCGCCCTTCAAATGATCCAACACTGTTCAGGCAGGGAGGGAGGCAAGGAGGGAGGGAAGGGAAAGGCAGGGGCACGGAGGTAGGCAGAGAGGCATAAAGGATAAATGGATATGAAAGGTAATATTAGAAGTACCTGTTCATTAACATCTTCCATGACTAGCTTAAGAGTCTTTCTAATGGTAGGGTAAGTCTTCTGTTCCTGGACTCGAAGCAAGCCTGCCCTCTCTAACTGCTGCAGAGACAGGTTATTCTCAAACCCATACGTCTGTCATCAACAAAACAAAATGTTTAAATATTTTTAAAAGTGTCGTAAAATAATTTCGTTACTTTTGAAAAGTGTAATCCATGATAAAGACGATTTTCACTGGCAAACTACGTATAAACTGAAATACCTGGAAAATTTCATACTGGAATTGTACCTGACTTTTATTGTATTTACATGTTTACTCTGTTTATAATTCAAATGACTGATTGTAAGAATATAAGCCTTATGCTATGCTATTCTATAAGCCTTTTTACATTGTACTTGAAAACATGTTAAACTTATTTAGGAAAGTGAGAAGAACAATCCAAACATTTGTCAAAAGATTAGGTATATTTAGCATTTTACGAAGCTGTAATACTTGCCTCCTGTAATAATCAAATATCTTTCCTTTAAAACCAATGTTTGCAAATTGCAATGTATTTTGCCCAAACAAATCTATTTTCATATCTTACCAACCTGTAATATTTCTTTCCTGTAGTAATCAAAGATCTTTGGCTTTAAACCATTGTTTGTGACAGACTGCATACAGAGAAGTCTTAGCACCTGAGGAGAAAAATAAGAATCATATCAATAACAGTGAGTAATGTGAGGCCATAAAACTATTCTCAAATTAAACATATAATGAACTCATTAAACAGTGAATAAACAGAAATATAAACAGTAGGTTTATATATGAGGATGAATAAGCTTTTAAAGTGTAAGGTAGGCAAAAGAGAGGAAAATAAACATGAAGTTGATATTAACATAGAACATATATATCCATGAGTCTTACTTAAATCGATGTCCTAGGGGAACGTACAAGTACATAGGACAAAGAAAATGGGAAGGGATAAAGGCAGAGGAAAAGAAAGATGAAGAGACTGAGAGAGAGAGAGAAAGGGAGGGAGGGCATATAAATGATGTACATTTTAAAAGAGATATATAGTAATCCTCTACAATTATACCACAATGTCTCTGGATGGTACCAAAAAATGTTATACAAAGTTTGCTAACTTGCTATAAAGGGTTGAACGGATGGCCCTAGTAATACAGACATAATAAGCAGCCTGTGCAAAACAGAATACATTTCAACAACACTTACCTTAATCAGAGGTTCCTTTCTTGCAATGCAATCTTCTATGTGGCTGTTGATCTTATCCGTGTCAATGCCATTCATGAATTCTATGAAAGAGTAGGAAAGTTTTAAACTTGTTTCACATCTTGTATGATGACCTTCATTAAAGTGGACTATTAAACAATATTGGCAATATGACTTAATAAACATGATTCTACGGTAATTCCATATCTACACTGTGTAGGAAAGTAGGAAAGTTGTAAACTTGTTTTAAATCTTGTATGACAACCTTCAACGAAATTGGAGTACAAATGCTGACAATTTGACTCAATAAACATGCTGCTACTTGTATCTTACACTGTGTAACAATGATTGAGTCTGAATGCTTTTACTTAACCTATACTGCTTGTACAGTACACCTAAATGCATTGAACTGAGCAGCTTAGACTCAGACTAGCCTAGTGGCACACAATGCTATTCCATTTTTAGCATTCAATGAATAATGGTAAAAAACACCTTTTTTTTTTAATGCTAGGCAAATGTTAAGACAATAATAATAATAATAATCTTTTAAAGTCCACTCCAAATTTTATTCAACCGAAAATGGAAATTCTTTTTGCCCAATTGATCGTGAGCCCAGCAGCCACTGAGCAGCGCCAGATCGACGTTGCTCTATCCCCTATTGTTGAGCGCCAACAAGGTAGCACAGCAACTCCCGTTTTTTAACGTCTTTTGGTATGACGCGGCCGGGGTTTGAACCCACGACCTCCCGGTTGTGAGGCGGACGCTCTACTGACTGAGCCAACATACCGGTAATGTAATGTAATTGTACACACACCAAGTGTGTGTAAAATTGCTACCACATGTGTCATATGTACTTTGCAATGTATTCTTCATACAAATAAAAATTATTATCAATTTCAACAACAGTACGTAGCACTTAAATGTACCAGGGCCCCAACAAAAGTTACCATTAATGCTAACTTTGCCATCAATATTAACTGCCATCAAAAAACATCACTCAACAGCCAATCAAACCACGGTTTCCATCAAAGATAAACCATTAATGGCAAAGATACCATCAATGCTAAGTTCTATGCAACGTGGGCCCTGGTAGCTGAAATATTTGAACTATGACCTGACTGACCTTATTGTATTTGAACTATGACCTGACTGACCTTGTTGTGTCTGCAATGAATCCATGAAGCTCTCCTTGTCTGTTCTCTCTTTGATCAGTTCTGCAATCGATGTATCTAATGGAAACAGAGCAGTCATTGTATTCAAGTTCTAGATTCATGAGGAGTATGTCACAGTGACACTGAATAGAAATGAAGAAAGCAACTACTTTGGTTTTGACAAATAATTAAAGTGACTCTGTAACATTGCCTCAGATTCTGAAACAAAATCCTGGCTTTAGCTCATGCTGCAATCATAATTATAAACCTTGAGGCCAGTCAGGAATCCCATGACTTTTACAAGCTGATCGCCTGTCTGATTATCAAGATATTTATGATTGGAAATCGAAATTTCAATTTTCGTTTCACTAATAGTTTATTAACGCTTTAGTCTATTGGGGAAAATGAGTATGGTAAAACCGGTCACTCAAAGATTTTCACTTTTTTGAGACACTTCATGATCATTTTGAAGCGTAATTTTTTTAGGGCTTCAATATTACAGCATATCACAGACATTGATAACACGTAGGGCTGTGCATCTCAAATTTAACATTGTTATAAGATGCCTTTAATAGGAGACATATTTTCACTTCTGGTATGTCACAGAAATTGCCCCGACCCCATGGAATGACCCACCTGTCACATCATACCTACTTTTTACAATATTGATCGAGGAACGATGATAGACGTCTTTTAATAAGTTTATGATGATTCAATCCTTCAAGCGAATCGTGTTTCATTGTACTTACGTGTAGCTAGAGACATCTTTGCTGCCTGTATGTGATGTAACTTTGAGACAAACTGTCTGATTGCTGACACCGATTTGGCATCTTTACGTTCCTGATGGGAAAGGCAGCCATATAAAACAAAAGTTATTCTTCCAAGGAAAAAATGTTACCAGAATGAACATATTCAAGAAATCAATTGAATACTGTGGCCTATTCAAATACACTGTTACCCATAAAGCTGGAATAAATTTCATTTACCTGTTTTCATGAAATGATTGGGATGATATAATTCATTCTTGATATATAAAGTCTATGTCTTCTCAGAACTTGATAGATCATTCTCTGTGATTCTTTTAATAGATTGATCGATCAAGTTCTAAGATATAAACTTCATCTATCAGTAATAAACTATAAACCACACCCCCCCCCCCCTTTGAAGCCCCACTGCACTACTTATAGCTACTTACGCACTCTATATACCAAACAATGCCTAATCGGTGCCTGTTGGTCCCCCATGATTCCCTTATTCTTATGTTGAGATAACCACCTGTCAGTTACCTTGCAGGGAGGTCTAATCCCCCCTGGCCAAACTAGTGCAGATGAGCTAACGAGTTAACACAGAGTTAACACCTTTCTTGCTCCAAAACCAACAATGTACGGTATTTGACTGACCTCATACTGAGCTGAGAGGATCTTGGCCCTACGGCTGAGTTCTGGTCCAACAGCATGGAAGTTCCTATCCCTGATGACCGAGAAGAGCTCATCAGCAGAGTTGAGTTGGACCTTCTTGGGTTCCGTTGGGAGATCCTGTTGCTGTTGCTGCTGCTGTTGGCCCTGCTTAGGGTCATCGTCTTTCTTGGCAAATTTTTCTGGTGGCAGTTTGACCGTCGCTGAAGTGATAAGTATAATTCTTCATTCATTTATTTTTTCTTATTCAATTTGTTGCTAGCAAAGAAAATAATACTAAGCTGGAAGAATTGTTATATATACTTTTATTTTTAGCCTAGATTATGTTTCACTCAATCATTGAGTAATCAATGTAAATATGTATTGAAATATGGAAATAAAAACCTCGCTCGAGGATTACAGAAAACAAATATCCTCATTCATGTATGCAGCAGAAAACTGCAGCGTTTTTTTTCTTATGATGACATAAAGTGTAATACGCTTCTTATTTCTGTATCTTATAACACAGAAATAAGTGAGTAAACATAGGACTTTCTTGTACACAGCTGGCATTCATTAACACATATAAGACTGTAGCTAATTTTTTGGGGGTGCGGTTTACCGCATCGCATCTGAACAAGCCTTAAAGGTACTATGTCCCATTTGCAGGCCAAAAAAATGAAAAGGTTAAATTCCAACGAGATTTGAAAGATAATACTAATTTAGAACTTCCCTAATTAAAGGGGGCTTATAAATATCTTTATGAGGGAAAATAACGACTATTAGTTGTCAAATCGACTTGATACAGTAAGTAATAGTCTGATTTCAGACCATTGTACCGAAGGGTCATACGTTTTGTGTTGCGCAAAGATTCAATCAGTTTAATTTTGGCCATTACAAGAAGTGGGTTATTGATGTAGACAAATGCTCATGTACTCTTTACAGCTCATTTTAAGTACATGTATGTTATTACCAATGAAGAAGAAAAGCCAGTCAGTCACTCAATAGTGTCTGACATTGAAGTCTAGCAAGTAAACGGGGTTTCCTTGCATATAATTTCAATATTAGGACACTGCTAACGTTTAAATTTCACAGATAGGACATAGATGACATATCTTAATTCCTGCAAAGTTCTACAGATTTTGATGTTTGCTGCTAAAGGGACATAGTATCTTTAAAGGCTAAAACTGAATCTCAGCTTATGGTTCATGATCATCTAAGAAGAAAACAAATCAAAAAGCACATATTGCAAATTATCTGAAAAACTCATTTTCTTACCATTTGTGATGCCATAAATTTCATCAATGAGGCCCTCGTAGGTGAGTTGCGTCATGAGAGGGGTCAAGAGGTCAACGTTACGATCAATGAGTAGCAAGCAATCAATCTGAGGTGAGATGAGTCGTTCTGTACCAGCCATCTCTCGTCTCATTCTCATTATCATGTCTGTCACTTGCTGCGAGTCAAAATAAAAATAAGAATACACATTATTGTTGATCGACCAATAAATACTAATTAATGAAAAGTTATATTTCAGGCGCTTCTGTGAGTTCTGTCATGATGTATAGCTTTTAGAAGATAATCATGCTAAAACTTAAGTGATAAAATTATCCCAATGGTATAGAATCTCAGATTCCCTAAGTTTGCTCTTCCAACTACCATGACTTATGACATAGAGTTTGAAAATACTAATATTGACTGCTTCGAACGGCACGGCTAAAAACTATTTCCCAAATGTGATTTTGAAACTGTGCTGTGCCCCCAAAACAAAGTCAAGGACATAGTACAGTTACTAAGGAGCTATAGGTTCAATTATATACCTCTCTTTAGTATGTTGAATCAATCTAGTCATCTGATTGGTCGAAATTGGAGGTGTGATTGTAGCCATGCCCCCCTACCGGTCACTAGTTTTTTAAAAGATGCCCGGGCCGCATAAATAAATTTTGCTGGGATCCCAATTGGTTTATAAATGTGTAAAAAGTTTCTTTGTGCCAGCGTTGATACCATACAGTGCTTTTTGTCTGCGATTCCTGAATGATCATTACATTCAGGCAACTTTCCAGCTAAGATGCACAGACAGTGTCTCAGATTTTCTTTGATGTTTTAACCAGTCTTTACTCAAGAAAAGGATAAGGTAAGAATTCTTTGTAGACTCGTTTGTGAATTCGGTATATAAAAGATATATCGACTGCTTTACTATTAAAAGCATAGCTGTTTCTATACTGGCTCGCCACCTGCCCCGGCTTGCCTCCGGGTCATATCAGGATGTAACGTCCCCTTGAGCCTATAGAAACAGCAATGCCTCTAATAGCAGTCAATATATCTATACTGGGATCTTGATGTGTCTTACTCACCCTTGAACACTCTCCTTTGCCGTATATATTTGGGATGATGCCATATAAAGCCTGTAGCTTCATCAATGATTTAGCCACATGGAACATGCAGGTGGGATCTCCCTGAAGGTAACAGTCCTGAACAAGACAACAAGTACAAGAATCTTTAAAGTAGTTTATGATTGAAGAAGACAAATATCTTTACCTTAAAACAACTAATATTGAATAATTTTGAATCATTTCTGGTTAGTTTCTTTCTTGTTCTGTTGTTCATTGTTTTTGTTTTGTTTTTGGGTTTTTTATGTTTGTCTTGTTTTGGTATTTCTTCAGTTACTTTTGCTTTACTGTGTTTATTTGGTTTGATATGTCTTGTTTTTATTATTGTTGTTGTTGTTGTTTATTTCTATAATTTATGTCCAGGTATTTCATTCTGGATCAAATACAGGCAGGATATTCAATTATCTCTGGAGTCATGGATTCACTACATGACCACCTTCAAAATTGCCTGCTATCTCTGGCATAAGAAGGAGAACAGAAAAGTGGATATACAAACCTTGAAGGCAGAGTCTGACTCCATAGACAATATATCACTATCGAAGGGCAAGAGATCCAGATTGTACTCTCCTACTGTATTCAGTGTTCCATATACTCCAAGCTCCTGCAATGACAAATCACATCATTTCTCAGAAGTAAGGGAAGAATCTACTAGGATATGTGGATTCCCTTTTAAAGGATCACATGAGCTTGAATGTATTTAAATTATTACCAGATTATAAAAATGGAAATGTACTTCCAATGATCTGCGCCCCGTCTTACAATGACAATGTACTTAGACTTCCCGATTTTGGGCCGCTTGTTCAAAATTGGTTTCAGAAAGGAAGTCATGTGTAGTCCGAGGTAAAAATTGAGATCTACATTGCAATTAAGGTCCAAATTTTCCTTTGTTAAACATGATTTTAGACCGGGGGTAGGGTTAAAGTAAATTGGTAACATACAGATCTAAAGGTCCCATTGGCATCGCCCTTTGGCTCATATAAACTCCAACAACGATCCCACAGAAACTTGAAAACCAAATCCCATGACTTTCAATGACCCATGTTTGTCTTTTTCCATTACCAGATAAGTATCATTTTGGTATGGGTTGCGGTATCCGAGCGGCATACAAATACCACACAGTGATATTCATGTTTGTGATGGCCTTTGCCTTGCCGCACAATTTCTACGACTCTTTTTTCCCTTCATTTTCTATGACCTTCCTTGACTTTTCAGAAAACTATTTTATTCCATGACTTTACAAATGTTTTTCCATTACCATGGGAACCCTGTCTAAGATCGTTGGCATAACTTTTGATGTCTGCAAACTTACTGTCAGTTTTCTCTCGCACAGAAGACTCTTCCTTGGCACAAAGTAAATGTGGAATTCTTTGCGAAAACGTCCAGGATTTTCCTCAGCCTTGCGGATATTATCTGCGACAATGGTCATCAGCTCCAAGCGAGGTCGCACGATGAAGATGACATTCTGGATATTGCCGCCAGCACCACTGGACGTGCTTTTGAGAGGTAGATGGCCAGGTCGGAGGGGGAACATACGGTCGACTTCATGCTCCTGACAAAGGACACAATTGCTATCATTAAGTTTTTTAAAGAGAGCATACATCTTCTTTCTTCTTTATTTGTTTTACTGTGTTGGCATGCATGTACTTTCAGAAAAATACCAAGTATTAAACATTAACTTTATTGGAATAAAAGAAGAATGAAACTAGACAATGAAAAGAAAAATTTAGATACTGCTAGTTTTGAAGACAACAGAAACTGGCGAATCTAATTAAGATTCCATGGTTTAACAGAGAGAAAGAGAGAGGGTTTTGAATTGAGTGGAAATGATTGACTTATCATAATTTCATAGCAGACAATGGCTAATCTTTTACAAAGAAAATGAGATCAAACAGACTACACAATCAGTACACAATATTGGTTGGTTGCTTTTTACCTGGCTGCTAAGAAAGCATGCGTATGTTTGTATTAAAGTGACCAGGGGACCGATGACTTTAAGTCCTCTCTGAAGAACTTGGGACTAAAATGGGGATCAACTTAATGCTTTACCAAAAGGCACTTGTGCATCGACTTTGTTTCAAACCCGGGACCTCCCGGTTACGAGATCACTACTCCATCACGCCTCCTTACGCACATACATGTACAAATAAGCTAAAAAAATAAACTAGTTTGATACAAAAACAAGTGTTTGAGAACTTTGAGTAGTGTGAAAACGGAGTAATGGGCCAAATTCTTAACATGAAACAGTTGAGATGGAGAGATTGAAGGAGGGAGGGAGGGAGGGATGGGCAAGGAAAAGATGAAAGGGGGATGCTCACCAGCAATTTTTCTTTTTTAATTATGTACCCACTTTGTTATTACATTCAGTACAAGTTACTGTAACTTTATATTGAACTTACCTTCAACAAGGAATATTCAGCTATGAGTCCAATTGGTCCTGTAAGAAAGTCATCCCAGACCACTGCCTAAGAATGACACAAAAATATTAAGTGGAAATATAGCAGACAACATTATGTAAAGGATAACATATACAATGGCACCTTAATCATCTAGATACTAAAAAGTGGCATTCCAATGATCTATAAAAGTTTTTCCACAACAGCATATTTGGAAGGGGTTATGGGTTGACTTTTTTACAGTCTGTGTAAAGTGTATTATCAAGTCAAATCTTTGCAAAGCAAAAACAGTTTTTTTTTTTGTATACTGCATCTTGAGCCAGAACCAACACAGCAAGCTCTTATATATACAGTGCATCCCATTGATGTTTTATCATAACTTAATCACAACCATAATTAATGAATGATACATATTTGGAAAGCTTAGAGTCTACTCTTTCAGTTGATGCTACTCAGATGATGCATATTTCAGGCATGAGTGATTAAAAGCAATTTGAAGGAAGGAAACCAAAAAGACATTTGGCGAGCGGTATCTGAATTTTGAAGAAAAATTCACATTTCTAGAAAGTTGAGTTTCTGCCCCTTTCATACATGTATGACACCTGACGAATAACAAAGTTCTGTTTGTTTAAAGTAGCCCTTACATTTTCATAATTTTAACAAACGAATTCGTTTTCACTGGGTGCCTGCCGTAGCAAAAAGCAGATTTGACAAAAGGCTTAACTCCGTTTCGTTGACAATCAGCCATGCAGGAAGACTCTCGTGAGCACCGAAAGGTGGACCTGTGCGCTATACAAGTAGCCACTATTATTATTATTATTATTAGTAACTGATTATCATTAAGAAAACAATCACCATATCATTCTATAATTATCAAAATATGATGTTTCCTTAAATTCTTGACCAATTTCAGAGTGCTCTGTATGAAAAGAAAGAAGCGTTCACTAGGCTACCACTAGCGAACTCCGTAGCCAGTGTACGATTTCTGTCTGGTGCGGGAAGAGGTGATTTTGAACGCAATTTCGGTTTTATTTACCAGCCTCTTCCTGCAGGCCGGAGTGCCAATATTATCAATATCATATTTCACATTATCACCTGGCCATTGAGGCTAGCTCACGCAACAAATAACCCTGCTACGTACAACTACAAGCATTCCTGTTTTGTTTTACTTTGAAAGAAAAAGAAATAACATTTATTGAAATATGACAGTCCATATTTTCTTTGTTTATAATAATATGCAATTTGAACTGCTAGAAGTAGAACAAAGACTGAACCCCTGCTGAATTGAAAGAGGGTGAAAATTGTAAAGTTAATAATATGCTTGCAACTACGGCCACATAAAGATAATTTCCCTAGTCCGGTTTTGATTGAAGGATTTTATTGATAATTATCCATTCTCGCAGTCCAAAGACTGAATTGCAATGGTAACAAAAGTTTACAATGTATATACATGATAAAAGCAATTATCTATATAAGTAATACGCTAAGGCTCCGCGGGGGGCGCGACGTCTCGGCGAGCCTTTGTATTCTATTGTTTTTTAATGAGATCGCCGACCCAAGTTGGTGCGGCTATCTCCTCCTGAACCCTACCCTCCGGGTGCCCGTGCCCGGTGCCATCGTCCGCGGGAGAGTCTACTCTGTGGAATTGGCTATACTCCGCCCGAGGTCCCCCTCCGTGTCGACGTCCAGGGCGAAAACAGACGCGATATGCATAATGCAGGATATGCGTGACGACAGAGATACCTCATGGATATTCAACATTACATCCGTAGACACACGACCGATGACTATCCACTCACATTAAGTTGCGTATTAAATGCTCTATGCAAAGGGCGGGATTACCGAGAGTAAAGCATCTTTCTATAGGATGTGCTTTGTTGTAGCTAGGATGTGCTTTGCATGTAGTAGCTGCACAAGAGATACACGGGGCTTCCCGTCGACGTCCAAACTTAGAGACCTATTTCCATCATGATTGCCGCGATTTTTATATAGTTTTCGTGAATGGAGGTATGAAAACAAAGCTTATTTTGTGATTATTACGGCCATGTATACTCAATTTTGATTATCATTTTCTAAAGGAAAGTTTTGACAAGAAAACCATTGGACTGACAATTCAGTCGCAAGCTAACTTCAGTCACCACACATCACAGTGCAGTAACTCCAGGAATCTCCAACACCGGCACCGGGCACCGCAGGCGTCCGAGGCCTGCGGCGCCGGTGTTCGAGCTTCGTGGAGTTACGCTGGAGTGTTATGTGTGTGAGTACAGCTGAGCTGAGCTCGAGTCGAAGAGATTTGACACTTTGAAATTGTTATCTGTTGGTTTGCATCATTATTGCCGCGATTTCAATATAGTTTTGTGAATAGATTTACGAAACCTGAGCTTAGAATTAGTAAAAGTGTTACTAATGTCTACGTTTTTAAACGACTGTCTGATTTTCTTGTGAAAATTTTACTTTGAAAAATAATTATCGAAATTTATGGTCAGAAATAATCACAATCTAGGGTCTATTATGTTACAGTTCTTGCATCAAATCAATGCATGAAAACTTAGTTATTGAACTAGAAAAATATTTTTTTTTTAAATAGGCAATTATGAAGAAGGAAACCTGAAACCCTGAGTTGAGTGTATATTTGTTTCAAGGGGCCATAAACCCCCAAAAGCTCGGGGGTTACGTTCTTCAAAGTTGGGGGGGGGGGGGGAGAGATCAGATCGCAGCGAGTTGAGTGTATATACAATATAGGCGTGGGGTCCACGGGTCTCAAGGGGCCACAAACCCCCGAAAGCTCGGGGGTTTTAGGCGTTTAATTAGGGTCAGATGAGCATATTTTTAATACTTTATTTGTGACACTTGCGGGGCACTAATTGGCGTGGGGTCAATACGTAGAGTTGCGTAGTGTTGCTACCAACTACGCTGGCCTACGTTACTATATGCTGAGGGACAGAAAGGGGTACGCAAGATGAACGAAAACAAGTCAACATGTTTAATTTCTTTCGCGTACTTTCAGCGTAGAAACTTGACGCAGAAAGTACGCCTTTTTACGCAATACTATGCTACCCTACGCCAGATCGTCAAAGCAGTAAAAGCTTTCCACACAGTAAGCAACCATATAAGCAAACCTGTAAGCAAACCTGTACGCCAGCCTACGCATAACCTACGCAGGGACTATTTTCCCATTAATACGCAGCCTAATTTCTGCGTAGTCGGTACGCCACACTACGGAACTCTACGCAGTTCCAGTGGCTTAAAGAATAACTACCGGTACAGTTGGATCGTTTTTTTTTTTTTGTTATCATATAAGGGCAAATTTAAAAAAAAACATATAGCGTCCTGTTTTTTCTGAAAAATGGGAGGGAGGATCGAGGCCCTTTTTTTTTTTTTTTTTTTTTTTTTTCTGCTCCGTACATTTTCCCTGACATTCAGGCTATTTTTCAAGATGGCAGCCGACAATTTTTTTCTTTTCTTTTTTAAGATCAGAAATACATTTTAGCAGTGCTTTTCATGTTTTTTTTCTTAAAAAAAAAAAAAAATCAAAAAAAAAATCAAAAAAAAAATTCAAAAAAAAAAAAAAATAGGAGAGGCGGCCCCCAGAAAGTAAGCGGGTGGGGACGCTGTTTTTTTCGATCAAAAAATTCAACAAAAAAAAAAAAATTCAAAAAAATTTCAAAAAAAAAAAAAATAGGAGGTGGCCCCCAAAAAGGAAGCGGGCGGGGACGCTAAACATGTATATTTTTTTAATGGCCTGAATGGCAAATAAAGTTCTTGGTGGTTTTAATTTAGACAGTCTCTATATATCTATTTACACCCCCCGCCCCCCTCTAGAATCCCGCGGATTTCCGCGGGTCCTGCTAGTACAATAATATATTAAAACAGTCTAGGCAATCAACATTGAAATACAAATATAAGTGATCAAATAACAATTATAATGGCAACTATCATTAATTTCAATTAATAAGCATGAAATTCTTAAATGAAACATTCTAAAAATATACTATTGAAATTAATCATTAAAACCATTACTATTACGAATATGGCATGCCATTGGTAAAACATATTGGAAATCTTGGAATTGGATTTCATGATGGATTAAGAAATAAAGTGAATTACATTGCAAATTCGCGAAGAATATTGAAATTTGTTGATAATAAAAAAATAAAATAAACATATTGCACTGGCTTAATACTAGGTGTTCGGTGTGAATTCATTAATATTCAAGTATTACTCGTTCTTTAAAATTCAATGCTATTACTATACATTTTAAATCACAATTAAATATGAAATACTTAAAAAAATTGATTTAAAAATTCAATGATTCAATACCTATTGGCTAAGTACTAGGTGTTCGGTGTTAATTCATTAATATTCAAGTATTACTCGCTCTTTAAAATTCAATGTTATTAATATACATTTTAAATCACAATTAGATATGAAATAATTGAAAATATTGATATAAAAATTCAATGATTAAATAACTATTGCACAATTACTGGCAAATACTCCCCACAAGGAGTGTATTACATTTGATATTACAGCAAAGTGAATATCAGGCATACAAAATTATTGGCATCAGAAAAAATGTTCGTTCAGAGTCCTTACCAAGTAAGGAAGAGTGCTGTGTCTCAGTCTTTCTGTTCGGCATTTAAAGTCTCTCAATCTATCACTGTGTCTCAATCGTCGATTCGTGCTCTGCATCTCTGGAAGCCAGTCGCGAAAGTGCTTGTAGAGCGATTCTGCGAACCTTAGGCACAGATGTTCCCTTCTGTCAGAGAGGGATTGCAGACCTGAAATCTGGAGGGCATGTTCATAGCTGTGGTATCGATCATGAAAAATGATACGGAGGGCTCTCCTCTGGACTCTCTCGATATCATTGGCCTGTTCAGATGTAATGGATGAATTCCAAACTGGAACACAGTACTCAAGCACAGGTCCAATGTAGCACGTGTAAATTGTGAGGAGATCTTCCACAGGGGCGCGATAACGCTTTAGGGCCCGAATAATGTAGAATTTTCGCGATGCCCTTCCTGTGATATCACGAACGTGGCTGTCCCAACGTAGGTTATGCTGCAGTATGACACCCAGAAGCTTGAGCTCTTTCACTTCCTGCAGAGTTTCATCATCTAGCTCAAGATGCAAAGGTGGAAGTTCGGTCCGTGAGAAGGACACTCTCATCGATTTGCACTTTGACGAGTTGATGCGAAGACCGTTATCCAAACACCATTGATGGAACAGCGTTAAGGTGGAGGGCATCATGTTGCATGACCCTCGTCTGCGGCTTTCTGCGAAGGTTATGTCATCGACGTATTTCCATCTGGATATACCTGCTGCGTCTGTCAATGCGTCATTAATCAACGCTAGGAAAATTGCTGGCCCAAGGCGAGTACCCTGGGGTACACCTCCAACTGGAGTAAGGGAAGATGAAAGTACTCCGTTGTATCTTGTCATCTGTTCTCGTCCATGAAGAAAGCTACTGATCCATGGCAGCAGGGATGGTCGAGCACCCATTGTGAAGAGTTTATTTATTGCGATATTGTGATTGACTAAGTCGAAAGCTTTTGAGAAATCAGTTACAACAATGGTGGAAACAGTTTGGAGCCGATCAGTATTGGTGTGGAGGAAATGTAGAAGATTGACGAGATAATGAGCAGTGGAGTTTCCTCTCCGACTTCCATACTGTTGAGGACTAGTCCGGGCCGAGACTAGTCTAGACTATAGGAGGGAAAATGTTGCTTTCACTATTAAACTTCACATTCACTAAACACTAGGTCTACTCTAGGCCTACAGACACAGTGTGTATAAAGAAAATGTATGAAAGTCTGGAAAGTGAAGACAAGACAAAGACTGCATACTGTCTGACGTACTGTGTACAAACTCAAAGATTGGCGTAAATTAAATATTCATAATTAATTGACCAAAACACGACTAGATCTAGACCTAGACCTAAAAACTAAAAGTCTAAAACAACAACATACGGAGGATAAAGTTACGTTGAATCTAATTTAGATCTAGATCTATAGTTGATCAAGTTATTTTTTCATCATAATTAATACTAGACTATAGACTCTAGTAGTCTAGTACATATCTTACTCCAAGGGGCTCTAGCTCCGAGCTCCGACGCCGATGCCCCTGGCCTAGAGCAGTGGAGCTCCCTGGAGTTAGTACATTTCGTGTTAATCATAATGTTAAGCACGTAACATGCATCTACGCCCACTTTCTACTTCGATCGAAATTAAAAGCACTCTGTCTCATGCGGTGGATCACGGTCATATTCTAAGCTGATTCTTTTTTATCAAATAAATAGAAAATAAATCATCAAACTAACCTTACTCCCTATGCATTTGTCTAGGCAATCTAATAGTTCTCTTCTTGCGACTTCTCTCCAAAATGCTAGATTCACGCGTCCACTTACAAGATGTGTGGCCATTTTTCCAGAATTTGGAGTTTTACGTATTTGTGACTCTTCGTCCAGCTAGCTGCAAAGCAAAGATTGGTTACTCCTGAATAAAGCACATAGGCGTATTGTAGTACACAGACGTCATGTGCAAGAAGTTTACAAGCAATATTTCATAAATATTCTTAGATGAAGACTTATGTTGGACAGTATCATAAAGGAAAAGTATTCATGTATATGATGGTTAGTCCTATTTGTTGAATATTCCACGTGTCTCGCTTCTCCTTTGCTTCACACACAGTACAGCAATTTACGCCTATCGAGCGTACTACGGAAGTAAGTCAAAGTAACTTGTCTCGTTGCTACTGGTACTGCACTGGTATAAGCGGTATTTCCGGTAGACGGCTATAGCGCGCGCTCTTGAGGATGTTTTCTCGGATCAATTAGATTTGAGTGCCGTTCAAAATCTTTGGAATAAGCACCTTTGGCTAAGTGTTTTGAAATATAGCCTGTTTTACACTCTTTACTCATCACATAGGAAGACTGTTGCTTGCCAAAATGTCCGGATCTGCAAGTGCGAGGTTCTCAATTGTTGAACTTCTTGGGGACAAACTAAAGAGCAAGGATGATGGAGAAATTGCAACTGCATCCATATGCGGAGAGGGGAAATATGTTGGCCTGTACTTCTCGGCGCATTGGTGCCCGCCGTGCCAGGCATTTACCCCCACGCTAGCAAATTTCTACAATACCTCTACTGTGCAGAAGGGGGAGAAATTGTTAGAAATCGTCTTCATTAGTTCTGATAAAAATGAAGACCAATTTGATGAGTACTACAACAGGATGCCATGGCTCGCTCTACCGTACAACTTGCGAGATAAAAAGGTAATATAGACTAGATCTAGATCTGAGTGGAATTCTGGTAATTCAGAAACTGCAAGTGCAGTGCAGTGTGACTGTTAACCATTGTTTGTTACTTTGTTAAAATGTGCTGAACAAAGTTGAATTATTATTGGAACTTGATGTGTTTTTTCTCAGTCATAATAAGACTGATTTTGCAGCATGATGGCCATGATGATGGTGAATTCTGAAATAAACATGGCAAAGATGTAGACTCTATTTGTTGTCTTTTTATTTCAGTTTACAAGCTTTTTATTTTCTTCTTTTTGTGTGTGTAGACTATAGATCTGCATCTGGGAGTTGTTTATAAAGCCAATAGTTAAGTACAAGAAATAACTCTAGTAGGATAGAAGGGTATACCCATTAATACCATAGACAGAAATAACCGTCTGATATGGGTCATTTCTTTAATAAAACTGACATTTGTTGACATTCCTCATTACAATAATCTAGTAAATCGGAGGTCTAGTGGAGCCAGAGGTAGTCTCAACGGAACAACCAACGATATAGAGAGACTGAAGCTTTTGGTCTAACCCATTAGCTGAACTATTTAAGAACCATTGTTGAGCACTCCCACAAACTTTTCTTTTTCCAGGCCAAATATGGCAAGGATACTGTAAGCTAGAGACATGAACAGCTGACTTGGTTTTGGCCTTTTGGGTGATGACTATGGTAGCTAGGCATTACCTCATAAATCATGATGAACAGATGCTCTTTATCTTGTCTCATCAGTTTATTACAATGTACAGAGTTCTTGACTAGACCATGAAAAATAAAATGGTTTGTGCATGCCAATCCGGATCAGACCTCCAGGGACAGAGTCTTCAATTTCCTGATTCAAAGATGAATACAAAACTTTAAAAGTGTCAAAAACTAAAGGAAAGTAAAGAAAAATCAGGAAAATTATAGGGATTACTGAAAAGAGAAAATTTTCTCTCTTTTTTCATTTGTTGAGCTTTAGAAATCGTGGCAAATCCAGATAAAGACCAAATTGGTTTTCACTGGCTGCCTGCCATAGCAACAAACAGAGTTGAGAAAAAGACTTTAACTCGGAACTCGGTTTCATTGGAGTGAAGTCTTTTGTCAACTCTGTTTGTTGCTACAGCAGGAAGCCAGTGAAAAAAATATTGAATCATCAAATTATGGAAATGCAAGTATTACTTTAAACAAACAGAACTTTGTTGTTCACTGGCTCATTTTTCCTGATTTAGTTGTCCTATGAAAGGGCAGAAAATGAACTTTATAGAAATTTGATTTTCTCTTTGAAATTGTTTTTAATCACTCATGCGTGCAATATGCAACATACATAAGCTGCATCAGATGAAAGAGGAGGATCTAAGCTTTACAAATATGTGTCATTAATTTATTGATTATAATTTTGATTACAGTGTAAGTTTATATGATAAAACATTGATAATTCTCGGTTTCGTTTTTTCTGGGACGCACTGTATGGGATGTCTCTGCTCAATCTGTATCACCAAACCTCTCTCTGTCTCTGCAGGCCTGATAATTACCCAATTTAAATCGGTTCCCGATTATTATTATTAATTTATTTTTCCCCAATTTTTTTCCCCAATTTTTTTTAATTTTTTACATGATTTAAAAAATCCTCCTGATTTTTCTCTTTTTTTTTCTTCTCTATTCTTCCCTATTTTTCCCTATTTTCATACTCAAAAGGGGGGAAATGTTGTTAAATGCCATTTTCCCCCTGAATCCTCTCTTTTTTTTTAGTGCTCACTCTCACTCTGGTCTCTCTCTCTCTCTATCTCTCTCTCTCTCGCTCTCTCTCTCTCTCTATGTCTCTCTCTCTCTCTCCTCTTTTTCTCTCTTTCAATTAATCGATGATGGAATCAATCCAGAGGCTAAGCTAAAACACTGCTATAAGACAATCGGCATTCATGGTATAGCTAAATAAATCTCATATATTGTACACTGTAGCTATCAAATTTTGTCTAGCTGAATGTCGTACAAAGAAATGTTACATAGCAAATCGCCTGTCTGAGCATCGTTTCCTAGATAATTAAAGAGTTTACAACATCATGAATATTATTCAGGACCAGGATGTAAAACAGATTTTGTATTTACAATGTTTATCTGATTGTTGTTATAAATCCTGATTAAATATATTTCAATACATAAATAATTAAAAAAACACAATATAGAACTGACCTTGTCGAAATTTTCTTTATATGACGTTTCTTTAAAAATACAATGTTTCTTTATAAATGCAACGTTTCTTTAAATATAACTGTCGATGCTGATTTCTAGTCTGTACACGCGCTTCACTATAGGCTGATGCTCACAACTTTCTTGATAGTTCATACGCGTTTCATATAAATTGCCTATCGTCCGAAGACGCTGTGAGACAGCTTACTCCCAACACATTAGGGGCGACTGTTTATTGCCCTTCATCCGCTAACTATCATGCCATCAATACTTGTATGTAAACATCAGGCTGGAGTCTTATCTAGATGCATTCTGCTACATCAGTATGACTAGGTAGAACAGACTTTCAACACCTTTCTGTGATATTAATCACCACTGGACTTGTTTAGTTACTCCTAGATAAATAGGTTTACAACATCATGCATATTATTCAAATTTTTAATGCATTAAAACAGAATTCTGACATCCTTCCTAATAAGTTGCTTTTTATAAAAACAGAAACATCAGAGAAACAGATCTTTTTTCTTTTTTTGTTGTTGTAAATCTTGCTGTATACATGGACATGTGTACATGTACATGTACATGTACATGTGATGTGGAGTCGTTGTGAAATAGGGGTTCATCAATCCAACTTCCAAGGATTTTGGGTTTGAATCTCAGCCTGTCATTAACGTTTTTTGGGCAAGTTATTAATCCCCATTTGCCACTCTCTAGTCCGTACCCAGGTGAAAATGGAGAAAACTACAAAAAGCATTTTGTAATGGTGAACATTGAGATGCAAGGTTTCATACAATTAATGAACTTACTGTAATGTAGAATGGCTTTTCTTTTGTGGGTCTCAAATGTGTATACTGCACTCACTGATAATAGGAAACTATGATCATTTTAAGAGGAAATTAAAGGAATACCTAATACTTGACAGTCAGAGAAGAGAAGTGAATGACATGTTATATGATTGAAATTTTTATTCTTCTGTCGGTTTATACTTTTTCATGTTGTATATACTTATGTTTTTGTAGGTTATAGAAATTCTACAAATTCATCATTATTTTCCTCTTCTTCCTTCTCCTCTTTTTCTTCTTCTCTTTTTTTTCTTCTTGTACTTAATATCATTTCTATCATCAGTTTAATTTTGTTATTATTATTATTATCTTAAATAAGTAGTTCTTTTAATTTTCTTATCTGTCTGTAAATATTACTATTTTAACTTATTAATTTTATACCTGTACATGTCTGTAAGGGACCCCACTGGAAATAAGCTCTCGAGCTTTCGTGGGTTATCCTGTTCAAGCTGACTTATTTTAGATCTGTTATTATTGTATATTGTTGTATGTTGGAAGCTTGTCGAATAAAATTAATCAATCAATCAATTTCACTGGTTGTGCTCATCTCAATTCTTATTAGCTCTGATAGTTCATGAGATATGTATCCCACTAAAGGCCATTCAATATTTACGACAATGGCCTATTCCTAACTAGAAATTTCTTGGATGGCATACATGAATATATGTTTTCTTTGTGTTCAACCTAGTTAATTCCTTTAACATCATAGAGAAAGTACAGTAGGCAGTAAATGGATGTAACTAGAATGCCAAGTATGTAGGTCTATTTCACTCACTACATCCCATCTCGAATAACAGGGAAGGTTTTATTGTAGCAGACATGTGTTTCAGCTAGTGCTGTAACATCACGGATATCTCCAATTCCGTTTAACCGCCTGTCAAAACCGGACGGTTTTCGGTTAAACGATTTAAAAAAAAAAAAAAAAAAAAAATTGTTTTTTTTTTTTTTTTTTTTTTTTTTTTTTTTTTTGCCGTGTGAAAAAGCAGGAAGGTGATTTAACTGAAGGCGCCGATTTGTGCTTGTGAACTAGTCACAAATAATAGTAACAATGCCATTTTAGAATAATGTGTAAGATCATTAAAGTAAATTAAAAACAGTAGAGGACCTAGGATAGAACCTTGTGGTACACCATGTGTTAAACTTGGATGAATATATATTGAGATCTATTACAAAGATTACTTTCAAACCAAGATGACAGACAAATTGGAGTGTTGTTCTAGTTTCCAAGTGGTAAGTCATCACACCGATTACTGAGCTGGGAGACATTGCCAGGCATAGTGCCAGGTGGAGGGGCATAAATCGAAACTTTAAAAAAAAAAAAATTAAAAAAAAAAAAAAAAAAAAAAAAAAAACGGGAAAACAAAACCGTCCAATTGAAAACGGAATCCGCCATGGGCGGTCGGATACCGGACGGTTAAACGTTTGACTACAGCACTAGTTTCAGCTGTCACTCAGTCTAAGAATGTGTCTTCGTCTTGGAGATGAGGATAGGCCGATGGACACACTCTCGGTTTTACTTAGGGTGCGTTCAAGCAACACTTTTTAACCCTAGAAACACGGTTTTCAAGTCGGTCGTAAAAATAAATGTGTTTAAAAACGCAAACATGAAATGCTGAAAAAGATGCATTTTGTATCGTGATTCTGCAGAATCACGGTCGCCAAAAATCGCTTGAACGAACGGAGATCTCAATCATGATTCTATAACGTCATCATCATGGCCTGCTTCCGGTTTGGCCGACAGTCGACCGTAAACAAATTCAGAAAGCACTCTGCGAAGTTGACCTATACTTCCTGGGTCACACTGCACAGTGTGATGAGCAGTGGCTGGGCTTGAAATGAGCGAGAATCAGTGTTGATGAAAAATCGCTTAAACGCTCTCTTGCAGTAACCATGGTTTTTAATGACGTTTTGATTTGTGATTCATGTTTGTGATTCTATCTTCATGTTTGTGATTCTAGCTTCAAAAAATCACTTGAACGCACCCAAACATGCCCCATAAAGGCTAGTTCAACCACTCCCCCCCCCCCCCTCCTGTCTCTCTCTTCCCTGAGTTCCCCCCTCTCTCTCTCTCTCTCTCTCTCTCTCTCTCCCTTTCTTTCTCTATCCTTCTCTCTCTCTACTATTCCTTTTCTGGATTAGAGTAAATGTATTTTGTAAGCTTGAGTGATGGTAATGGCAGTATAACGGGATTACATGTACATGTTCACCCCGAGTACGAAGTAAATGCTCACTCTCAAAACACCGGTGAATTATTCTGTTTTGTGCTGGAGGCATTGTGTATTATATCGAGTAGTCTACACCTCCGTCCATCCTTCCGGATTTCTCGTTATCGCAATATCTCAAGAACTACAAGAGGTGTGAGGGTCAAACTTGGTGATAATAATATGTATCATCATAGGAAGAAGATCTGAGTATATTTTGGGTTCGTAAGTTAAAGGTCACAGAGGTCAACTTCTGAAATTCCAGCTATTAGCCTTGCTTAAATGTTATCACAAAATCTCTAGAACCACGAGAGATATAATATGAGGCTCAAACTTGGTGATAATATGTACACTGTCTTACCATAGGAAGATGATCTGATAAGATTATGGGTTATTAGTTCAAAGGTCAAGGAGGTCAATTTTTGAAATTCTAGATACAGTATTAGCCTTGTTACAGCAATATCTCAAGAACCACTAGAGATACATGTATGAGGCTCGAACTTGGTGATAGCATACATGTATCAACTTAGGAAGATGATCTGATCAATTTTTGTCTTGTTTTAGGTCATGTGACTCCTCCGTTCTAATGCATGCAGAGCAGCTACAAGTCAGGGGGAAAAAAATATTTTAATTTTTTTTTTTTTTTTTTTTTTTTTTTTTTTTGGGGGGGGGGGGGGGCTACTTTTCAAGCTTGCTTGCATGAAAATAACACTCTTTATTTGTTTTTCATTGAACTCTGTGAAAAAAATTTGGGGGGGGGGGGGGGCTTTTTTATGACTTTCGGGGGCTCTTTTTGGCATTTTGGGGGCAAATTTGCCCTGCGTCCCTGTGTATTCTTTTCCTTGCTTCAAGTAGCGCATGCACACAACTCACCCCCCAAAAAGAATAATCAAACTCCAACTCCAACAGTGTAAATTATACTTCAGATATCCAATGGTTTCAAATTGTTTTTTTCGACAATGTGAAAGGGCCTAGAGTTTGCGGTTTATAGCTACAATATCTGTCCCTTAAAACAAAGTTATGTGCATGGCTAAAAAAATTCCCCACTCCCTTTAGAAAAATAGACCATAACTTTTGATGACTTGACATGGAATAACAAAGCCACAGGACCATCCCGAAGTGATATTGTTTCCAAATTGTTTACACCTTGTTTACACCTTGTTTACATTGTTCAGAATGAAGTGTCAAGGCGATTCAAAGTGAGCGCTATCCCGACGTTAATCATCTTGGACAGTGTTACGGGAGAGGTGACCTGTGTGGACGGTGTGGATGAGGTCAAGTGTGACGGTGAGGGAAAGAAATTCCCATGGAAATCCAGGCCATTCCCAGGTGAGTCCAGTCAAGGAGTTCTGAAGTATTGCACCAAGTTCATTTGTACATGTATGAAAGCTGAAAAGTATTAAAGAGAAACAGAATGGCAAAATTTTGAAATAACAATAATAATAATATTTAATTTTTATATAGCGCTTAAAGGTAAAGACCAGTATTGGAAACGCCCCAATTTTAAAACATGAAATGGAACCATTCATGTGAAAGAATATGTTTTGAATAATACATGGATGATAAAAATTTTGCCGCGAAACTGCCGACTAATTGATATATTTGGTAAATTAGTTTATCTATTGGTGTTTGAGAGATAAAAGCGCACCTGTACGTAGTCCCATATACATTTTTCTGTGTACAGTGCTTGTAACTTTATGAAGACTGGGCCAAATTTCTTATCATTTTGATGATTCCAGAACCTTGCAGTACATCTACAGTGTATGCTAGATGATCAACCTTTTCTGATCGATTTCACAACGTTTCTTTCACTATGCAATCGCATGACCATAACTGGTCTTTATCTTTAATACAAATGATAAGAAAGTTTAATGATCGTCTTAAATATGAATTAAAGGGCAATCTTATTGTACAATTTATTATACAGTGTAGTCTAAAGAACCTCCTGATTCATGCAGTGTACATTTTGTTTGGGATAAATCATTACCGGTAGTCATTTTGTGTTGGAACAAATCAAATGGGAAAGTTTTCTGGTACTACACAGTGACATTAACTTTCTTATTTATTTATTTATTGAAAGTAAGTTATTTTTGGAGTGCAGTTGCCCTTTGAAATGGAAAGTATACATGTACATGTTGTCTTTTTATTTGAAAAAATCAGTGCTGGTGAATTCTTGTTTACATGTAGATAGAAATATTTGGTTCCTTGAGAGGTACATTAACAGTTTTCTTTTCTGAAATCTGAACGATATTCTCTCCTCCCTGATTCCCATGCTTTTAAATGCAGAGATTATTACAGGAAACTTCATAAACCAGGAGATGAAGACTGTCACTTCGGAGAGTTTGAAAGACAAAGTTCTAGGAATTTACTTTTCTGCTCACTGGGTAAGGTACAATTCTGATTCAAAATATTTTATTATTTTTCAGCAACAACAACATTGAATATAATATGAATTTAAGTAACACACATAAATTCCTTGCAATTTAACTATACCCATGCTCATTTCATTTTATCATATCAGTAAAGAGATATGTTTAATACCTGATAGTTATTTCAATATATAGCATGATATAGAATAATATAGCATTTCATTTCTAAATGGATCAGCTTTTCCACATGACAATTGGCAAAAAACGGTGTAAATGAAAATCAGCAAGAAATTGCCAATTTGTACATGAACATAGTGATTATAAATTCATGGAACTCTAGAATTTTTTGCTGACCTTCAGTCACAACGAGACAGACAGACTGACTCATCAGGTATTTGCAATTGAGCATGTACAGACAGGAGGCAAAATTATAGACAACTCAAGCAACATTTGTCATTTGAGTACTGAACTGGGATCGTTGTCAGATTACTATTTGAAATAATTGTGCATATCATAAACATACAGATTTAATCCAAAAACAGTAAATAATCTTTGTCATATAGGCCCAACTACTTACGTGTACAGTACTACAGTATCATACTTTTGCCAAAGAACACTTAAGTAAAAGTGTATACTTACCAGCACAGGTGCTCCTGCCCTTACATTTCCTGAAGAAGTATAATACTGTAGCTCGCCTCCAACAGCCCTTGTAATTTTCTTCTTTAAAGAATACATTTTCTTATATCAAAACAGTTTTCCTTTTGTTTCCAATTCCACCACACTCCTTGATAAGAAAAGTACTTCAAAATGAGTCTTTAATTAAATTTGATTCTCAGATGCAATGATCTTGATTGTGATATTTCTTACATTGTAATTTTTCCCCCTTCCCCCAACCCCTCACCTTCCCCCAATCCCCCTCACCTTCCCCCAACCCCCCTCCCCTTCTCCCAACCCCCTCCCCTTTCCCCAATCCCCTCCCCCAATCCCCCTATCCCCCTCACCTTCCCCCAACCCCCTCCCCTTCCCCCAATCTCCCTCCCGTTCCCGTTCCCCCCCCCTCCCCTCCCCTCCCCTCCCCTTCCCCCAATCCCCTCCCCTTCCCCCAATTCCCTCACCTCCCCACAAACCCCTCACCTCCCCCAAACCCATCCCCTTCCCCCAAACCCCTCCCCTTCCCCCAAACCCCTCCCCTTCCCCCAAACCCCCTTCCCTTCCCCCAACCCCCTCACCTTCCCCAAACCCCCTCCTCTCCTCCCAACCCCCTCCCCTCCTCCTACATGTACTCCCCCTCACAGTGTCCTCCATGCAGAGTGTTCACCAAAGAGTTGAAGTCCACCTACGACAAGATCAAGGAGTCAGGACAGTCCTTTGAGATCATCTTCGCCAGCCGAGACAGAGCAGAGGACGCCTTCAAAAACTACTTTGGGGAGATGCCCTGGCTAGGTTTCCCTTTTGGAGATAAGCGTATCGGCGAGCTGGCTAAGCTCTTTTCTGTCCAAGGTATGTTTAACAGATACAAAGAAAGAGAGAGAAAAAAGGAGAGCTTCATTGATTACCAAAAGTTTGTCTAGATCCATTTGTATGTGAATCATGTTACAGGTATGTTTAGGGCCGAGTCCTAGATTGAAATGAATTGAATTGAAAATTTATTGTCCCTTTCGGGAAATTCTTTTTTTTACTGGTTTACAGTCTTTGTACATATATACATAATACAAAAACAATACATAATACAATAATTATCAAATGTACATCGTTACAAACGTAGTTACATTCTGAAAATAATTGTTGCAATGGAAACGGAACAAAACGAATACATGATTGCAGTATAACATAAACATGGCATTCCAGGTGAAAAATTCGAACATTAGGCTTGCTGTTTATTTGAGAATATAGGTGAGTTTAATATTATGAGCCCTAGCACATGTATTTGGTCATTGGATGCCCCAAACGATACCAAATATCCTGGAGTTCTGAAAATGAATTTTTACCTTTTGATTTGGTCTGATGTAATCTAATTTTCTTCATATTTCTTAACCGTTAAGTTATAGAATGTCAGATTTAAAAAAAAATAGATATTGATTTAATACATTCTAGCTGTACACATGATATTTTTTAAGGTAATTGGTACACTTTAAAGCACAAGGAATATTTTTAAAAAGTGGACAATTCTGTTTTGATGACAGGCCTTTCTTCAGCAGTCTAAAAGTATGAGGAATGTTGGGTAAATGCTTGTTAAAGTATGGTGCAGCAAAACTATGCCATTTTTTTTTATGATACATTTTTGTATCAAAACACAGAGCTCCGGGAAAACCACACTTGTACAAGTCCTTTGTTGTGTGCAGTTATCATTCATCTTAAACACAGATCTGAGGGACACTTTTAAGTCATTTGTTGCACGCAGTTGTCATTAATTTACAAATGTATTTTTTTAACGCTGCTGCTTTTTTACGAGGATATACCATGCCATATCTGAACGAGCCTTAAATTGTACTCTGGGTGCTGCAATACACTGTACCTGCACGATTCAATTGGAATGCGAGAAATCCACTGGGGAGCCAAGCATGGCTACTGTAATCCTCAGTGAAACTAAAAAATTATTATCATGGTTCAGTCTACAATGACAAGGATCTGTTTGCCTACATTTGCCATTCTCGTAGCTTGGTGTGTTGTATATTCATTTTATGGAGAAAAATATGCAAAGTGTAGGTCCATGAATTTTTTTTAAATTTTTTTAATCAATCTTTCCTTTTCAATGAGGAAAAATCATAGCTGAGAAGATAGAAATTATATTTGGTGAAACATATACAGGAAAACAATGGTAACTAATTCATTTATAAAAAATAAAATATAGCAATTTACAAATGTGTTTCATTTATGAGAAACCTTCACCCCAGAAGAGCACCAATTTATTTATGCAATTTGCATTCTGGAAATTGGAGTACAAAGGATATTAGCAGGTGAATGAAATGCTTCATCACCACACACACCTCGGAAGGAAGCATCCATAAATTTGAATACATTTACTTGATAAACGACTTCAGTACGTCACGTAATCAAGAAATTGGCGATGCCCAATTGCCCATGTCGTATTGAGAAACTGTACATGATAAGCCTCTCCCAATATCCCATACACTTTGGTGGGGAATATTGTAGCTTAATGGGCAAGAATATTATATATTTCTCCAAAAAAAATTCATTGGGGTGAGGTGTCCTTTAAATATAGTCTGTCCAAGCCATTCTGAAAATGCTGTACATCCACCATTTACTACTGAATAGTTTAATTTAGAAATGTTACTGTACATGGTTGTCACACTGCCCACGTACAGTAACTGCAGTGTATCAAAATCCATCTCGGGGAGAATAGCTATGTTGCATGAGAACCATATGTGCCCAAGCTCATTATGTGGCTATGTATTGATTGATGGTAGCAGAGTTCTTAAAGGGACTTGGTAACATTGTTCAGATGAGAGAAAATGGTGGTAAGGTAGTGACTTCAATGATAGATGTACAATTAAAGATAATCTGAAAGTTTGAGTGAAAACAGACCATTATTAATGATAAAAATGGGGAAATTGATCTGATCGATTCCTTAATTTTCCTAACTATATTATTTCAATTTAATTACATTTTAGGTGAATGTAAATCGTCACAGAGCTATGAGTCGGCTCTTTATACCATTCCAGACATTTAAATGTTGAAAGATGTTTAAAAGCATGTCTTATTTTCATGGAAAAATGGTTGGGAAATTCAAAAATGGTTGGGAGAATTTACTGTTAGAGGGTGTCGCACAGTGACACCTTCAAAGAAAACCATAAATTTCTTTGTGGTTTAGTACAGTAGAAGGAATATAATAAGTAACATTTCATCCAAACATTACGCAATTTTTATATCAACCTTCAACATTGTTGCTGAGTCACTTTAAGGCGTTCTAGGTCTTCTTGGTTGAGAATATTTTCTTTTATGAAAATGGGTTCTAGAATGTAGGAAATCTAATTGGTCAAGAGACACCATACGACTGTGGCTGACAAGTCTCGTTCACTTGCGTGCAGTGCATATTCACTAATGCACTCACAAACATGAATTACCGGTATCTGAATACTGTTTACATCATAGACTTAATAAAAATATATCCATGTTTACAATAAACAATGTAGCATTTTCACTCTCAGATTAGTTCCAGCCTTCATACTGATAATTCCTTTTTTTTTAAGTTAAACATATGAATGTTACTTAATTGTTCATCAATTTATCTTAAATATGTTTACAAGCATTTATTGTAGTTTCAGGCGAAAAACTTCATGATCATAAATGAATGCCCGTTTTCTTACCTATTTGCAAATTACATGTACATGTATGATACTTCTTTCATACTTCATTCATGCATATGAGTACCGGTATACATGTATGATACTTTATACTTATTTCATGATGGTTAATTCATTTGTATACCTACATGTATACTGCATGCATACTTCTTTCATTCCTATGAATAGGAATACATGTATGTACTACAATAGCACACGTATTATATTTCATTTACTTATTTTTATTTATTTATTTATTTCATATTACTGCATTTATATGATAGTACATTTGATGACTACAGTGTACAGTATATATTCATAGTATGATACCGTAGTTCATTCATTTGTATACTAAATGTATGTGATTATTTATTCATTTGTAACATACTACAGTTGTGGCGTGTGTCTGTAATCCTGCTCCTAGGAAGTCGGAGTTGGTTAGTTCACTGGTTCACTGTGTTCACTGGTTCACTAGGCATGATAGTGCATTTTATACATGTAGGTGGCAAACACTGTATGGAATTAAAGACCTTGGGCCATTGTGGCTTTTTTTTTGTTCTGAGAATTCAAGGGTGAGATCCTGTAACCACAACATTCTGCGAGTGCTTTGTTTGTACTCAATCACTGTACTTTATTACTATTGACTGCTATCCGCTGCAATATATCCTGTGTTCAGACAATGAGAATTCATCATAAAGCTATATATACATTGATTTATTCATTTTTGGCCTGGTCTAAACGTGTTTAAATAAACGGATATCAAAACGCATGTTTGGGCATCCTTTTTAACGAAAACTTGATAGAGAATAAGGGTCCCATGTAGTACAATTTGCTTAATAATTATAATTAATTTTACAGTTTTATTTTTATTAGTTGTACATTTTACACTAAATTTTTAAGGTTGTAAACATTGAATGTAATTGATGAACGAAGACCTTGGGCCATTGTGGCTATTGACTCTATTCTGGGAATTAAAGCATGAGATCCTGTTTGATTAACCACAAAATGTCTGCACTTTATTACGATCGACTGCTATCCTCTGCAATTCCGATATATCCTGTGTTCAGACAATGAGAATTCATCACAAAGCTTAGCTATACGATAAGTTATTTCTTTTTTGCCTGGTCTGATCGTGTTTAAAGACACGTAAAGCAAAACGCATGTTTGAGCATCCTTTTGAACGAAAACTCTACAAACAATCAGTCCCATTGTAATCTGAACATCATAGCATGATTTATTGTATCGCTATACTTTCCCTTTACGATTCATTAAACGTTTCTTGAATTTCTTGAAATCGAATGACTTTATCTTCTTAAATTTAAAGTATAAATTGCACCTCGGACAGGCGTAAAAAATATCAGCAACATTACATCATAACACAGCACACCTGGGACCCGTTTTACAAAGCCTTTTTTTCAATGACAAATGACAAAAACCAGTGACAAATCTGCTGATAACCAATCAGAAGCAAGGATTTTGGTAGACCGAAATTTCTGTCTCTTTCGTTCGTTAGCCTCTGTAGAGAGGAGCCGACCCTACCCAAATCAGAGGCTAACGAACGAAAGAGACAGAAATTTTGGTCTAGGATTTCAAAATTTTTGTCTCTTTCGTTCGTTAGCCTCTGATTTGGGTAGGGTCGGCTCCTCTCTACAGAGGCTAACGAACGAAAGAGACAGAAATTTTGGTCTAGGATTTTGATAGCTAATAGCAAAAAATGTAATTTGTCACTGATGACAAGTTTTGTGAAATGGGTCCCAGGGGTTTAAGCAGGAAAGTCGGAAGTGTTATTAAAAGGAATTCATTAATAGCAGAATGCTTTATTTTTCAGGCATACCCAAACTGGCTATCGTGGATGCGCAGGGAAAGGTCATCACAGCAGATGCACGAGGCTCAGTTACCAAGGATCCAGAGGGCAAGGTACTTTATGCAGTATCTCAAATTATGTTACCATAAAACCATAATCCTTCTTAAAAATGTATGTAATAATAATAATAATACAACTGGTAATAACAAAAACAAGAACAATTATAATAATTATAATGATAATAATAATAATAATAGTAATAACAACAGAATAGTAGTTATAATAATGATAATGATAAATATATTACTCCTTGCGGATATGCCTGCTTACAATATATTTTATCACCTGACTAAAGTGTTGCAGCGGCGCACGAAACGTTGTGATCTCTTATATCCCTTGTTGACCATACATTGCGAGACAAACGAATATCACTAGCAATATTATTTTCGATAATAATAATAATGATTAAATTCAAGTTTATCTCCACATTTGGTTGAAAACAAAGAGACACCATTAATATAACAATTATTCCAAAGAATACAATACGACACAAAATATATATACAACGATAATAATATTTATAATTATGATAATGATGCTGATGAGGAAGAGGAAGAAGAAGGAAGGAAGAACAATTAAGAAGGAAAAAAAGGAGGAGAAGGAGAAGAAGTCTTGGTTACACAGGGTAGCCCTATCAGTATTAATATGTTCTCTGTTAGGGCTCTGTAATCTGTAACCATATTATCACCCTGTCACACATGTATTTGGCTTAATTCTAAAAATGTTGAATCTCAAAACAAGCTCACACTTACGAAGACAGCATTTTGTTTAAATCGAAACATTTAGCAATAGTTTGATGGGATTTTGTGCTATATACAAAAACAACTTTATATGTTATGTTGAAAGACAGGTACTGAAGTGAACAATGTTCTGATATCAATAACTCAATTTTGATCAGAAGTGGATTTAGCTCCTGTTGGAATTAGGCTCTTCATTTCTTTGTGGTAAATTTAAAGCTATGTCTCACCTACTTTCTATTCATTATTGCAATTTAATCTGATGAGTGCATGGCAAAAATCTTTAGTACATGTATGCCTGTAAATGTAACTTGTAACTGTCATATGAGTAATAAGCTATAGTTCTGAATATCTTTTCTTTTGTTTGTTTGTTAGGAGTTTCCATGGTATCCTAAGGCGTGCTGTGAGTTGGACGCTGTCTCTGCTGCTATGGTCAATGTGGAATCTTGTCTTATTCTCTTTACAGGTATGTTGTACTTGAAGGAAAGTCCAACCTTGAAGGAAAAGTCCACCATTAAAGGGGAAGTCCACCCCAATATTAAGTTGTTTTTTATATATACCGGTAAGCAGAAAAAAGAGAGGAACAGAACAGTGAAAGTTTTAGCAAATTCTGATCATAAATAAGAAATTTACTAATTTTTGAAGTTGCGATCAAACACAAATTGGCAACTCTGTGACATATCTTGCGAGCTCCCTCCTATTTTCTCTATACCAACAAAAAATAGAAATTTATATTTCAAACTTTTGTTATTCTGTTTCTCTTATTTTTCTGCTTTCATACATATTATTCATATTACACAGTTTGGATTGCCCTTTAATAATCTTCACACTAAAGGTACAGATGCATTCTGACCTCGTAATTACCGGTAAATTGTAAAGGAAACTGTCTGGAAACAAAGGGGAAATGGTGATTATGTAATGCGTAGGAATTGGTGTATCTTTGAAGTTTTGGAATAATCGAAATTGACTCAATCTTGCAGATTGTCACATGCACTGCATACAGAAATGTGTATATCTGACTACTCGATTCACCTATGTATTTTTGATAAGATAACATTTGAAGATCGATCGTCTTTAGGGTTATTCTTCCAAACAAACATAAATATAATAAGATAGTTCATAAATTATTGTCACCTTTATTGGCAGAGCTCAACCTTATGATTTTGAAAAAAAGTGAAACAAAAAAATTCAAGTAAATAGATTCGATGATTTGGGGAAAATAATAAACGTATAAAAGAAAGTTTGGAATTTTTAGAATTGTAATCCATCAAACAAAAACTCTGACTACCGTACCTTGGCAAGCAGCTCTCCATTTCTTTGCACTGAGAATTATACAAAATAGATTTCATGCATACTGTGTGTAATTAAAAAAATGTGTGTCTCATAAAGTATCTAGGAAGTTTGACAAGATATATTTCGGGGGGAGAAAAGTGTAGCGAGGCCTCTGTGACATCACTGAATTGAATATGTTTGAATAAATGAATGGAATGAATGAATGATTGATTGATTGAATAAAAAAATATTAAAATATTATTTTGTTCTCTTCTGCCATGATGATCAGAGATTGAAGAAGATGAGGAGGGGGAGGAGTGTACAAGGAAGGCTATGGAGATGATGAAACCCATAGCAGAGGAGACAAAAGCTGCTGAGGAAGCAAAAGGCCAGGAACTCGCCTGCAAGTTCATTGTAGCTGGTGACGTAAGTATTTACCTAACCCCATTGGCTTTTAAGCCATACTGTACTATACCGGTAAGCATCCTGTGTGGTAAATGTCTTCCCAAAGAACGTTGGTGCTGGCAGGGAATCAAATCCCTTACCTAGTAATCTTCAGTCTGATGACTTAAAGCCCCACTGCACTACTTGTAGCTACTTGCTTCCTTGTACATAAAAAACAATGCCTAAGCGGGCCCGCTGGTCCCCCATGATTCTCTTTTTCTTATGTCAATTGAGAGATGAGTTGATGAGATAACCACCTGTCAGTGACCAGCAGGGTGGTCTAATCCCTCCTGGCCAAACTAGTGCAGACAGGCTTTAAAGACTAGCTAGTCCACAACACTTCTATGATTGCTTACTCGGCTAGAAACATTGATAACATTTTGGTTTGTTGTTCCAATCTAAAATGTTTGCTAGGTAAAATTCATGAGATTTTTAAGTGGGTGGGTGGGTCGTCAGTTTCCATGTGCAGAAGTTCATAATTCGCTGACACCAGACTTGGTGGAAATACCATTAGTGGGTGTACAAGTCTGCACACAGCAAACCTGTGGCCTAGGTCGATCAACAAACACCCCCTCGTCTGGAGAGTCTTCAGGTGATGCAAATGTCAGATGTGATAAGGGCTTTACCACATGGGGAAAGGCAAAGCATTACATACATCCTATTGGTCATAAACCTGAAGGGTAATCCTAGTAAATTGACAACACCTGTTATTGGGTAAACACCCTAAGGGTGTCAAATTCCCCATAGGCCTGTCCTCATCAGCTCGAGATTGCCAAATAGCCTGCTATTTCTGATTTGGGAAATAATCCTAAAGTTACAAATACTGTAGCGTCTTCATCAGCTCGAGACTTGACTTCGAAACTTAAAACTCAAGCTCGAGATATTTTGCTCCGCATTCTCACATAGTGCGAGTCTTCGGGCTGGTGAAGACGCACCGGACAAATAGCGGGATATTTTGCAAACTTGCCCAAGATATCTTGGGATGACTATCTCGACCAAATATCCCAGTAATTGCAACTTTGGCTGATGACCACACAAATTAAATGGATCATTTGCGATCAGGATAATTCAAATAGCGGGATATTTGGCAATCTCAAGCTGATGAAAACAGGCTTATTGATTGATAGTCCACTTCTAATGAGAGCTTATTTCACAATGTTCATCTTCTTTTTTGTTTTTGATTGACATTGATTGACAGGATGAGACGGTAGAGGGCCTACAGCAGTTCCTGAGCATTGCCGATGAGAGCCTGCCGATGCTGGTGCTCCTGGACATCCCCCGAGAGAGGGTCTCCTGCTGCGAGGGCAAAGAGATCACTCCTGATCTCATCAGGGAATACTACAGCAAGTTTGTCAAGGACGAGCTGCAGTGGACAACCCTCTCCCCATAATCAAGGAGATAGAAGCTAGGAGATACACGACCATAGAGGGGCCAGTCGATGAAATGAACAGAGTTACAGGATTTTTTGTAGGATCCTCATTGTGTCACTTCATACTGACTTTGGGTACCGGTATGCAACTTTGCAGGACCAATAGGCCTTGTCCGTTATTGTTCCAATCATTGATTGAATTAATCAACCGTTAGATCTGCCCGTAGAGTATAAAACACGCTTGCTTAGATTTTATCACCTGACGAAGTGTTGCAGTGGCGCACGAAATGTCGTGATCTTTTAGATCCCTTGTTGACCATATATTACGAGACAAACGAATATCACCAGCGATATTATTTTCGATATGCATGATCATTGAAAGTTGGCAATTGCGTACAAAAACGGTAATTTGAGGGGATGTTCCCTGATTTGAAAATGAATTTCAAAAAACAATGTGTTTTATAAAAGTGCAAGTTTTCACTTCTACTGTTCATGTTTCATGGTGTTTACAACATGTGAATGTGTGTGTACTCATTTTTGCCAAAAAACCATACTTTTTTGTGAATGTATACCGGTACTCAATAAGCAAAAAAATTGGGTTTTATTTTACACCTGTTTTTACACAAAACGAGATGGTTTTTTTGTGTGTAAAGTGCCAAATAAGGGGATTATTTTTTACTCGACTTAGATAAATGCGTTACTCTTTTGGGTATGAAGTGACACCTCAGGGTGTATAATCCTCTGCCTTTACACTTCCCTAGGGCCCTGTTTCATAACACTCGTTATTAATGACAAATGCTTAATTTCTATGACACATTTGCTCTCAGCCAATCAGATGCCCTGATTTCAGTAGCTTATAACAGTTATTGTATCAAAGAGATAAGCTCCTCAGAAGCATGATTTTTTCCAAATCTTGTTTCCTATAAACCCTTAGTTGTATCCTTAGATGGCTAGTAGATCTACACAAATATCTGTATAGAAATGCTGAAGGAAGGAAGGATCATTACTTTCAAAATCTATCAACTTGGTACTTAGTGTACATGCAAAATGGTGTAGACATGTCAGTGACTTTGATGTCTATGGACACTTTTATTGGTATTAAACCAGAGATGTAAGACATATTTTTGATGTTGTAATCTCTTATTATTTAAAGAATGAATTTTCAGATCCTTGCAACTCCTGTTCATTAAAGAAGCAACCCTTCCTTCATTCTATCACCCCTAAATGAGATGAATTGTCTTTCTTAAAGGTAATACAAAGTTTTGGGAAATTTTGAAAATTGGGTGGATAGTGAATCTTTACAATTTTGATATATTTGGATGCCCCTGTGGATGTATTATAAGCACTAAAAAAAAAATAGCCCCTAAAACACTTCTGTTTTCAAGAAAAATTGAATATAAAAATTTACCGGTGCTCCCGGTAAATTTGGATAAATTTCAAATAGCGCCTATGGCCGTACAATCGTAGCTGCGACCATGAAAATCTCAGAATATGTAGTTGTGATATATAATTTTCAAACGGGAATAGCTAATCGGTCGATTTCAGTCAAGAAACATTGTTTCATAGCTAAATTAATATTTTGACCTTGAGAGGGAGGTATACAAAATAAAGAGTTTATTATGCCTCCGTTACGAAGTAGCCGGAGGCATTATGTTTTCGGGTTGTCCGTCCGTACGTACGTACGTACGTCCCGTTCTTGTGATCGCGTTATCTGAAGAACCGATTGATGGATTCCTGCCAAACTTTGGTCATGTATGTATCTTGCAGAGCCGATGAACTGATTAGATTTTGGGGTCGCGAGGTCAAAGGTCAAAGGTCACAGGGCTCATTAGGTATGTAAAAACAGCTCGTGATCGCGTTATCTAAAGAACCGATTGATGGATTCCTGCCAACCTTTGGTTATGTATGTATATTGCAGAGCCAATGAACTGATTAGATTTTGGGGTCACGAGGTTAAAGGTCAAAGGTCACAGGGCTCATTATGTATGCAAAAACAGCTCATGATCGCATTATCTCAAGAACTGATTGATGGATTGCTGCCAAACTTAGGTCATGTATGTTACTTGCAGAGCCAATGAACTGATTAGATTTTGGGGTCACGAGGTCAAAGGTCAAAGGCCACAGTGCACATTATGTATGCAAAAACAGCTCGTGATCCCGTTATCTCAAGAACCGATTGATGGAATCCTGCCAAAATTAGGTCATGTATGTTACATGCAGAGCCAATGAACTGAGTAGATTCTTGGTTCATAAGGTCAAAGGTCAAGGGCTTATTCTGTATATGAGAAATTGCTTGTTATCACGATATTCTGAGAACCTGTCAATGGATTACAATTGAAATTGAATTCGAAAAATTTCTTCTGTTTTGGTTTGTAAAATTGCTCTATGACGGAGGCATCATTTTCGACTGCGCGCAGTCGAATTCCATCTAGTTATTTATAATTTCATAACTTTAGACTCGATTTCAACCGCGACAACGATCAATGTATATTGTAGGAACGCATATGATTCCAATATGTTAATTTGAACCAAATTCATGACCCCATACCAAAACTTTGTAATACCTTTAATTAGTTTTATAGAGACTAGCTATTAATGACCATTGAATGTAGGGAAAATGGATTAAAGGTTTTCATGTGTCCAGTATCTATTTAGAAACAAATACATACCGGTACTGGTTAATAAGAAAAAGTACTATTAGATTCCTGTGTATGAACATTTACTAATGCTGCAGCTTCAACAGCGACCCCCCAAAATCCTCAATCAATATTATTGTTTGTTATACCGTATTGTATACCACATCTCAGATGCGAATTCTCAAAACGTGATAATTTGACAAAATATTCTGTTCAAAGGTTTTCATTATTTAATGTACCGGTAGATAAAGTGTGTCTACCCTCTGCGTGCATCCATTGTTAATTTCATATTCACTATCTGTCGCTATAGATACTGCCGCCCAACAGTCAGTAGTGAATTTCATGCCTCCGGTTTTGACCAATCTGAGGCCTAGCATCTTAACTTGTGGTATATACAAATCTCTTCTTTTTTAAATTAAAAAATCGACAGTGCAAGTCAGAGGAGAGTATTTTTTTAATCCTAGTCTGATGGTGCCATTTTTGTGCAATTTTTCAATCAATATGAAGGTTGTCCTTTTTTGGTGGAATGTACCAAATCTCCATTTTGACCATTCTAACATCAATATCTTGATGGTGCATGGATATGTGTACCTGTTATTATAGGCTGATTGTACTTAATATTGAGCTAGGCTGGTAGTTTAGCATTGTGATATTAAGTTGTAAATAAGATAGTAATATAACATTCTACTCTGTTTGGCGTATTGTGAAAATTACAAATGATTATTCTCTTTCATAAAAAATAAGTGGTTCATTATAATAATTTCCTCAATTATGTTATTTATATTAAAGAGGGCGTTGCATGACAAGACTATGTGTCTTACCCGTGGCCTGACTCGGGGCTAATCGGGTATAATACGACTACGGACGACGCAAACGCAGTATTCACGTACGTGCAACATACACAAAACCGAAGCGTCAGGAGAATTTCGGTCTGTTCGACGAACGCTAGCGCGCTGACTGTTAATCAAGTCCATTCGGTTACGTGCAGTTGTCTAAAAGAAGTCGTAGATGGCGTTAACCAGTATTTTTCATGCTACACCCCCTTTAACTAGTAGGTTATTTTTTAATTTTTTGTTTAAATACTTACAAACTTTTAATGTAGCCAAATTTACCAAAGGTAACTTTTCTTTTTTTCTTCCATATTCATGAGTGTCTTGTTATGATTGTAAAAGTTTAAAAAGTTATAATTATATTCTAGGAATTTTGTTCACATTTTTATCTTATTTTCATTCTAATTGCAGATACTTGATACCAAAATTCTGAGATTTTAAGCTCTTTTTTTCTCCAACTTTTAGTACCTTTTGTATATATACAGTTTGTATTTTTATTGTCTTTGCCTGCCTTTGCATGCATGGGCATCCATTTGTGATTGTACTATGTTTGTAAATAAAGCTATGTCATCAGTCAGTGTGTTTATATATACAGCGAAGTAAAATAATCCATATTATCTTTGAAGGCCAGGAAGAGTATAGATTGACTCGTACCATTTTAAGTAGAGTGCAGATAATATTTCTGTTATCGGTACATGCAGCCGTGCCTTTGGAACATCTATTTATTTCTGTGCTTTGAACATGTGCAAAATATAGGGAATCAGGCACTAGTCATTTTTGTACTTGTTTTAATTCGTGCATACATCTTCACAAATACAGGTAGTGTTCGCTCACAAGAAAAAGAAAGACAAAAAAAAGCATGTGACTGTACCATTTTAAGACTTGCTTAAACTACAGGTAAGCGATTTGGATCGAAGTCATTTCCGTAATATTTGCCAAAGAAAAAGAGTAAAGATTGTGATACTTGCTTAATTTTCCCAAACAGACCACATTTTTTCTTGCCCCTTTGGCATGCCTTGGAACAATAAGGCAGGTGTGTTTTGAATTGATTTGCTGAGGGGCAATTCATTTTGGAGCTTCCCGCCCCAGTTTCATTGTATTTTTTGCTTGTATCTCATAGTCTTATAACACTACCAGACAGGTAAATTACGTGTTTCCAGCATAAGTGGTAATACCTCAATGTATAGAAGGACCAAAAACATTTTAACATCACAACTCCATTTTTGCACAAAAAAACATTGTGCATTAGCTTGTTGTTTTACTTGTTACATTGCAGTTATTCCATTCTACCTATGGTCAGAATGGCTGTTTATCGATGCATAAGGTTTACTTACCATTCAAAAGTGAGAGGTGCAGCTTAGATATGGAAAGCGGGTATGTTATCATGTTAACGACCTTATTATTATTAATTGGTCCTATGCAATGCAATTCATACTTGGAGTGAGCTGAGAAGAAAACAACGAAATTAGTATAAATGTTCTCTCTTTTTACACGTTTTGCTTTTAAAAGATAAATCTGTATTGCTCTAAAGTAATTTTTTTTTAATATAAAATATGCCAGGTTATTGCCTATGTTCTATATGTGAATGGCTACAGCATCCATAATCTGTAGGTCGAGCACCAAAGTTTGAGAACTGTGTGTGTGTACAAAGCCAATATAATCTTGTATCATTCTATGCATGGTAACTTCAGAATATCTGTGTGCTGTTAATTTCCAACAACAAAACTGTTCAATTGGTCTGGTTATCTCCCATTTGTTTGGATAGTATGGCATTTTACAATGTAAAGTGAGATGACTTCTTGATATTAAAAATAGTGGTGTATTTTCAAGTTAACAAGATCATTTTTTTAGGCTTTAGAAATTGAGACAATTATTTTTGTCTAGGCTTCTTGGCTTGAAGACCTGGAGATAAGTAACGTCGTTGTTTTCAATGAAATTTTAAATTTAATGTTATTTGCATGATGAAAAACTGTATTTTGGCCAATGAGATAAATATGTTGGATATATATATATATATATAAGATTAAAAAACAGTAATGCTCTTTTGAAATTAATTTTCAATCTGCACAATTCAATCAGTGAGTTATGTATTTGAAATGTTTTGTATGTAGAAAGAAAAATAATGCAATATGTAAACTTGGCATGCTAGTTACCAAGATGAATTGCTCGATAGCAAAAACGTATGCACAGATGCAATAAATTGCACTGCCAGTTATTAAAAAGTTAATTAAAACCTCCATTACCTCTGTGTAAGAAAAGCTGCTCATATGTCGATTTTAACGCTTCTTTCAGGGTAATTTTTATTTATGAGCAGTTTATCCCTTTGCTAAAAATAACCTCGTCATGGCGAATTTTTATTATCATTGTGCTATTCATTTGTTTTAATATGCCTCTAAGACTTGCAATTGTGAAATTTTATCAACTGTACTCAAGGTATTTTAAAATGTCAAATATGCAGTAGTAACTTAATGAGAAATAAAATTGCGAGGATGAACTTGTACGGTAAAGCAATATCATGTACTTAGTCAAGTGTGATGTTTGGCCAGTTGATTGAGAATGTGCTATTGTAATGCTCCAAGGCACCAGGTAGTTTCTTTTGTGGATAAACATGTACTTGTTACATGGTTTGCTTGTGCTTCATCTAATAAACTAGTGTTTTAATGTCTTTCCAAAAGTTGTGTCTTTATTATTTTCTTTGAAGTTCAAGAGTTGATTTGTAAGGTAGCCGGGGAACCTATACTTATTGTCCCTAACCTCAGAAACATGATTATCTTTTTTAAAGAGGAACTCCACCCTGATATTACATTAGTTTTAATAGAAATATGAGAGACACTCAGTGTAAGTTTGAGCAAAATCTGATTAAAGTAAGAAAGTTGTGATTGTGACTCTAGCGTATTTTGCTCCTCTCTGATTTGCTCTATACAGAAAATTTCATAAACTGTTGTTTCCTTAGTGATTGATGACGGAGTAGACTAGTTACATACAGGGGTTGTATAAAAACATTTTCAATGATCATATCTGAATGTATGATTGAAAATTTTCTTGTTGGAAAATTTAAATGTTTGAAATTTTTTTAGTGAAGGGCAAATCATGTGGGAGGGGGGCTCACAAGATATGTCAGTATAGCCCCTTTCAAAGTGGAAGGGGTACCACCAACAAAAAAGGGTTCTTTCTGGAGAGAAAAGGGGGCATTTTAAAGAGAAACCTCAAAGCGGTAAATATACAATATTTAAACATTTGTATACAATATACCCCTGAATTGTGATTAATATATTATCAGAGATGATTTCAATGTTTTATTATTCTTTAGGCCATTTAAAACATCTCAAAAATGTAAATACTTTTGCAGTTGGGTGTGATGGTCTGAAAACTCTGAATATTCTTTTTAAGATCTGTTAGGTTACAGTTAATTATAATAAATAGGAAAACACATCCTCATGGGGTTATAAGCACAAGCATATCATGAAATACTGAAAATACCTTCAACATGTAACATAATTATATCAACTATAATTGGGAGAGAGCGTAGCGTGCAAGCTTTGGGGGAAATTAAAGAAAAATTGCTCTTAAAGGAATAGTTGAGTTCTGTTTTCAGACCGCAATGCCTTCAAAGTGATGGTTATTGCTCTTATTCTTATCTATGACATTTCTAGTGCCCTTTTAGAACCTAAAATTGCTATGATGGTAATTTTAGACCCCAAAATGTGTGAAATTTAGCCATCACGATTAGTATAGCAATTCAGCTCCACTTTCAAAAAAATACGGTGACCATTAATTAATTATTTAATAAAAATAACAATACATGGGCCGGCTGGTTGTGCATAATATAGCGAACACGAAAATGCCAACAAAAAAGCTAACATCGGCATTGGCTGAAATTAGACGTAAAAGGCGCTATTTCGTTTTTTCAACAGCTCTTTCAAATTATCTAATATTTGTGGTGGTACACAAAATTATTAGAAATCGTTATATTCATGAATATTTCAGCCATCTCTGAATCGATTTTGATCAAACAAAGATGATTTTGTCATTTAAATTTTATGTTCTTTTAAATTTGACACTCAGTTTTTCATTATCTCACACACAAAAATATCTTGTGTAGCACCCTTTGCAACAGAACTCAACTATACCTTTAAGGGGCATATGATACGGAGAATTGGAAAGGGGGCACTTATCAGAAGGGTAAAGGACACTTATTAGAAAAGAAAAGGAGCATGTGTCGAAAGTAAAAAGGGCAATTATCAGAGATGAAGAGGGCATTTCCCGCACCTGCAAAGGGGCACTTAATTACTAGATATTTTTTAAGGCACTTATGTGAATGGAAAAGGGAAATTGATGATAAAGGAAAATGTGCATTTGTGGAAGGTAAGGGGCTCTCATTTTAAAGGAAAAGGGACACTTATGTGTAGGGAAAAGGGCATTCATTAGGAGAAAAAAGGCACATATCAGAGGTAGAAAGGGGCACTCATCAGAGACGAATAGGAGCACTTGTCAGAAGGGGTAGGGGCACTTATTACAAGGGAAAAGAGACCCTTGTCAATGAAAAACAGCACATCTCAGATTTGAAGAAGGGCACTCACCAGAGATTTAAAAAAGGGCACTTTGGAGTTTTGAGAATGGAAAAGGGGTACTTATTGCAAAGAAAGGGGTCCTTTGTGAAGGAAGAGGGGCACCTATCAGATTTTGACAGGGGCACTTATCAGAAGGAAAAATAAGCACTTATAATTAGAAGGGTAGGGGCACTTCTGACAAAGGAATAAGACCAATTGTCCCAAGTAAAAGGGACAATTAGTAAATAGGAGCAATTATCAGAGGTGAAGGGGCACTTATTGTACCTGAAAACGATCGCTCACCAGAGATTAAAAGGGGCTCTTACAAGAATGTGAAACAGGCACCAATTATAAAGAAAGGGGGGCACTGTGCCTCAATCACCCTCCCCCTCAAGTAAAAAAAAATAGAACAAAAAGGATGCGGGGGGGGGGAATGGCATCTAACAACATTCCCCCTTTAAGTAAGAAAATTGGAGAAAAAATTGGGATAAATCAGATTTTTTTTTTTTTTTTAATCAGGAAGAAAAAAATAACTGGGAAACCGATTTAAATCAGGTCATTATCAGGCCTGCTTCTTTCTTCACTTTGCAAAGATTGAGTAAGCATCATGGCTTTAACTTTGAAGGCAGCCGTTGTCTTGTTTTGTCCCTTCCATTCTTTACATATACCGGTACATTATATCGTTGCTTCCCATCATTCTGTCCCTCCCCCTTCAACTGTCAGTCTCTCATTCCTTTCTTCCTCCCCATCTCTCTCCCTTCTTCACACACACTTACAGTAATATTCCAGCTTGCTCTTTTTTCTCTCGTTCCATCTCGCATCATTCTCATTAACATACCATTCACAAACTTCAGTAGTTCTCTCATGCACATAAACAAAATAGAACATGTACATCAACTACAGGTGCCTAAACTCCCAAGTATGGAACCCTAAATTCCATACCTTTGTAACAAAAGGCTTGTGCATACAGATCTAACAAATCTCATTCCCAGAGAGACTTTTCATCTTTTTTTTTTTGTGATGGATAGTCAGTCTCAGCCAGACCTACCAACATATTTGTGGGTCATTTACATTTTAATGTTTCGCCATTCACAATTGACTTTTTAGTCTGGCAAATTTTGGTTGCTCTAAAATGATTAGCAAAGTATTTTGCACCATCCTTTCAATGAAATACAATAATCACACAGTAATTACACTTTATCAAGAAAAGGATACAAGGACCAATCAGTAATTGATGTTACAACTGTAGTGTATTTATTATAATATATTACAGAATTTGAGGGATATCAAATGCTCCAATAGCTATACAAAATACAAGATGGAAGTCCACAATGTTGCAACATTTTCTCCTTTTGTCAGCGTTTCTTGCCATAGTTTCGAATCAAGCGGCATTCTAATCGAAGAGACCAAAGCCCATGTCGTCATCAGATTCCTCCTCGCTCTCCTCCTTCTTTGCTTCCACCTTCTCCTCTGCGGCTCCACCGGCAGCAGCACCACCACCGGCAGCAGGAGCGGCTCCTCCGCCTCCGGCAGGCATCGATGCCAGCTTGGATTTGCCTGGGTTTGGAGATTAGATTGAAACAAAATAACATACAACATACCAGGGGTGATAGTGAGCACTAAAAAAAAATATGTTTTTTGTTTTGCCCTCAACCATGCCCCCCTTGAGTAAAAAAAAAAAAGAGGATTCGCGGGGGGAAATGGCATCCAACAACATTCCCCCCTTTCCAGTAAGAAAATTGGGAAAAACTTGGGGAAAAAATAGGGCAAAGTAGGGAAGAATAGAGAAAATAAGGGGGAAATCAGGATAAAATTGGGAAGGAAAACAAAATCTGGTTTGTATCAGGCCTGACATACTGACGTAGTACATCTATTCACACAAAGACTACTGGAGACAAAAAAGTATTAACTCTTTTTTTGTAGCTGTCATTTGATTCAGAAACTATTTGATTAGAGTTCTGTTACTTCAGTTAAACTCTGGGCCTAAGATCAAGTTTAACAAAGGAAAACTTAGACCTCTGATTAACTACCTTATTTAGAGCACATCATCGTACAAGAATATGAGCACTCGAGTCTGCGAGACTCAAAACGAGAATAATAGCGCAAGAATCAATCTCTCACCAGATTTTTTTGTATTTTTTAGAGTATGTATAAAGTAAATGTTTGCTTTTGTACTTTGTCCAGAGTATATGACCTAACTTTTTAATATAACTTCAGTCCACATTTTCAGAGACAAAATAGCTCATCACTGACAATCAGCCGAAAGATGGTTAAGTTTGCATCATCATAAAATGTGGCTAGTATGAAGCAAAGTTCCCATATAACTCTGACCAATATGTATACTTTCTCCGTTATCAGGATAAATGAACACTAATTGAGCTACATTAACATTTGGCAATCAAACCTTTCCAATCGATAAGGTGAACAAATAATATTTGATCTACAAAAACAACTTTTGCTCTTGTAAAAAGACCTGTCGTCACTTCCAAAGTGAAACGCATCAACTCAAAAGAGAGGTGTGTGGAAGGATCCCTGATTACTCACCCTCTTCGATCAGATCCTTCACTTTCTTGCCTTCCAGCTCCTTGATGACGATACCGAGCTTCTCATCGTCGATCTCGACTCCGACACTCTGGAGAACTTTCTTCACATCAGCAGCTGAAGCATTGGGTTTGCCGCCAAGGGCGAGTAGGAGGTATGCGGCCACGTAACGCATTCTGCACACAAAGAAAAAGCAAATCCGTTATTGAATAAGGTTCATTTTTCAAGACCTTCTTTAATACTTTTCAATTTATAAACTTTTTTTCATAGATTTGACTTTCACAAAGTAACTTTGTGTGTATCCTCCCATCATATTCAAGATCATTATCGATTGAGGGAGGGTTAAGACTTGATTTTAAAAAGTGCAATTATGGATCTTCAAAAAATTCAAAATGGCAGGTGATCTTATAGCTTATCAAGTTCTGGTTTTAAATGGGGTAAATTAAAAATGAGCTTAGCTGTTAACATAACTAGGACCAGATATATTAAACAAACAGAAAATCACATTCACTGACAGTAAAAGCACACCAAACACATCTGCATACAACACATGGCACCACAAATTATTCCTGGCCTGGAGATTGGCATGACAAGCTCAGCTCCATTTCTTTACATTATGTGCCAATTAATCAGATACACTGTATGACACAATCTCTACCAAAGTTTTACAGCAGATATCATCTGTTTGTACTAGGTCTACCGGTAGTCTGAACAATTTTAATTTGTTTGAATCGTGATTATTTCTATCATCAAAATCCTGATAACTTTTTTAATATTTGTGAAATGTTGTTGGTATAAATGCTCCACGCCACATTCTCAGATATTTGAGAAGACTAATCACAGAGTGTCAGTCGAAAGATGGTGTTCAAATATTACATCATCATGAAATGTGGAGTGAGGATTTCTTGACATGAGTAAAGTAAAACATGTTTGACATTTAGAAAAACATTTAACAAGTCAACATCTAGGGCACATTTCGGAACAACTTTAGAATACCCCACCACTAAAATTGACCAAACGCTCGTAGGGTACCAAATACTTCACCAATGAAGCTGAATTTCAAGACTTTTTAAGTAAAACTAAACCTAATCCTAATTCTTAAGTTAAGCCCACATTTTTCCCTCCAGTTAATGCTGTGACTGTTTTATAAATTTTTATACAAATTTGTCAAAAAAATCCCCCAACGAGATTGTACAATACCAAAAGCAGACAAAAAATAAATTAAGATTTAAGATAAGAATTGTCACATTAATATCAATTCAAACTTGTGACACAAAGAACCTCTCACTGCCTTGTGTTTCATCCGGGAAAAATTAGGACGTTTTGAGAGGAAAAGGAGTTTCATACACCAAATATGTCATGATCAAATCAAAATTGATGGAAGGTTGGGTTCAAAATAATCAATCGAGGTCATTTTAACTGCCTTCACATTCAGATACTATCTCGAAAATTAATGATATCTTATCTCCAGGCAATATCAAATCAATTTACTGATTGTAGCCTGTATGAAGGACCAACAAGAGTAGCACATGTGTTACACCACTTCGAGCAAGCAATCCACAGCCACGCACCACATCATGCACACAACACGTTTCCATTCACACTACACACGTACACATGGCATTCACAGTTGTCGGCGACTCTCGCCATGTCTCGACTCACTGCACTCAGTCACAGACACGATACCATTTTTTCATAGTTAAATTTCCTCCTTAATATTCATTAAATACTATTCTTATTTTCAAAATTGAGCACCTAAAGTTATTAAGTTTATCAAATAAGCGTCATTTATATTTCATAATAGTTTGGGCGTCTTACTTTAAGTCTTTTCGACACGAAACGATGTGCACGCCAAGGCCCAATTGATAACCTTAGTTGAAAGAGGCTGTTCAACGTCGTCCAAAATTGAACTCGCATGAATGCGAGATACGTCGGTACGGTTTGGATTTCGGTACCATACTACGCATATAGAGATTGTCAGGAATGGGGGCGGGGACTTGTTGCAATGTTCATACTTTTAACTTTTCACTAATCAATCTCCTAACTTCTGCACACTATTTGAAGGGGGCAAGGGGAATATTAATTTACACCAGCTCACCAATAACTTTTCAACCATGAGATATATAAAAAAAGAGTCTAATCAAATTTTGCTCATTAAATCACATATATTGTTGCGCTCAGTTGATCGCAATCGGTGAGCTCGCCAGCCAGCTAACAAATATATGCCATAGGTTGAAACCAAAGTATTTATTTTTACTGGTTTTATATTTTTGTTTTGAATATTATTTATTGTGATTCCATTCAACAAATTCAGAAAAAAACAAAATTACATTTTGTTATAGATAATACAAAATCAAGCTCATACGTTTCGAATAATATGACAAATAATGACCGTCAGAATGGAAACAATAAAACATAAAATACCTCAACTCCCTTTCCCTCTCAAAGTCCCCTCCCCCTATAAAAAAAAAACACCCTCTCCTCCCGGCCTAAAACCCCTTCCCCCTCCCCCCAAAAGAAACCCCTTCGTATATATTGTTTTGTTCTTAATAGAGCTTATTTATATCGCATTAAGCAATTTAATACAGAAACAAATAACTCGAATCCATGCATTTGAAGATGAATGGAACCGAAGGGACACTGATATTAATCAAGGAATGGAACAATCATATAACATAAAATGAAGGAAAACATAATAATCCATCATACAATGAGTTCTTATATCCTTCGACCACCAAAATGGCCTCAACTCCGAGGGACATCTACCCAACCCGTCCCCCTATAAGGACCCCTGACCACCCCCATCATATTATTTAGCACCACTCTGCCTTTTTTTTTTTTACCCACTTCTGAAAATCTAAACCTTTTGTTCATCCCTATATTTCTTTCTTTTTGATGCCGGGCCTACAACTGGCGGAGGTATTATCGAAAAGTGCTGTAGCCCGATAAATCATATTATATTTAATTATGAAAGTAACTTAAAGCATTTTTACTCTTTGGGAGTTTCCTGAAATGCCTACATGGATATCCTGCCAATCTATTTCTTAGTATCCCGGATTACTTTTTTTTTTAGGACACCCAGACTTGAAAATATAGTCTACTTTGGGATTAACATTTACTTTCTTCTGATGTGAAACACAATGTATATATAAATTATATATGTGATTTCAACATAAAATAATGCAGATCATAACGCTTGTGTTGAGAACGCCCTTAATACCGTCTAGAGAGAAAAGGCTGCAAAATTTTGACAAGCACGGCTATTTGCGTCATATGGAATATCAGTGAATGTAGATCATAATTAAATTGCATAATTAATGAAGTATGGAATATGATATTGCTATTATTAATTTTTATTTGGGAACAGGAAACCATCACACGGTACGTTATTAGTACCATTTTCAGGGGTCCACAGCGTTGGACTCAATTTGCCGACAAATTTACCACCCCCTCCCCCCCCCCCAGAAAAATGCAGCCCCCCCCCCCTCATTTTCTGAGTAGATATATTTTTATGCACATAATTATTGCTTCATAAAAAATGCTTTATGATTATTGTTTTCTTCTTCATTTTTTTTTTTTTTTATTATTCCTGCTTGTCAGAAATATATTTTAGACTCCTTTTGTGTGCCCGCGCCCGTGTCCTCAGTAGGCCTATTCTGGCATTGCCCTAGTCAATCTCCCATTTACTTCATTAACAGTAAACCCCAACCCTCCACAACCGCAGCCAGGCTTGCCCTCAACTTTGCACGTGTGCTAGAAATTACAGATCCGACGTCTTTAAAAAAAAAATAATGACAAAGTATAAAAGAATGACTCGAGAGCCCCTGACATAACTCAAAGGAGTCCGAGTTTCACTTGATCGAATATTTATGGACGAGTTATTTGACGACTCAGGTACGACTTTTGCCCACACAAAGTCACACGGCATGCATGGGTCATCAAGAAAATATGAGCTTGTTTGCTGCCCTCTATTGATCAAGATCTTTTACAATAGTGGGGCATTTATATCACTGATCTCTCGATCTACGAAAAAGGGAGGGAAAAAAATTGAATGACGTCGCTAAATTTTTTTTTTGTCCCTGAAATTTGAAAATTTGGCAGATCGGTATTGTTAGGAGGGGGGGGGGGGGGGGGAGATCACTTTTTAGGTCAGTTTTTTTTAATTTTTTTTTAAATAAATTTGTTTTGAGGGGGGGGGGGGGTTTTCCTCCACACACATTTAAACAAATTGAGGGGGTTCGACCCCCCCCCCCTGCGTACGCGCCTGTTCCCATCTCTGAAAGGCCCACATTATTTAACATATTTTCCAACAAAATAGCTAGGCTATCTGAAGTCGGGACAAACCTTAAAATAGTAGCGGCTTTTTATATTTACAGGTCTCTTGATTATTATAAAGCAGTGGAATTTGAGGCAAAAGAGTCATTAATTCCCATCGTTTATAGACACTGAACAGTGCTCTTCTTTTTCTTCTTCTTTCTAAAAATCGTGCTTCTGCCACTTTCAATCTGCATATGATCACAATTATTTTTATCGAGTTTAATGAATAGGCCTATATACCACCAGATCAGTTTAATTTAGACCTACTTTTTGTATATTTATTCTGCAATATTATTGCGCGGCGAACATTTATTTAAACAGTTGATAGGTACTATAACGAATACAGACATTAGGCTTTTCATCTAATTGCATCAGTATCAAGAGTAGGCCTTACTTTTTTATTTAAAAAAAATATTGCAAGAATGAACAGAATGCCTCCGTTTATATCGTCCGATTTTTGCTTTCTGTTCATTTTTTACGATGATGATGATGATGACGATGATGATGTAACCTCAACAAAAAGCTTTATTTGCAATTCGTTGCTATTCAATTATTATCCACTTTAGGTTTCATAATTGTCGACAGCTGGTCACAACAGAAGTCCCTATGAAGGAGAATCGCAATTATTATAGGCCCATCCAATTGGTTCACTTCTGCTGCCAAATAAGTGTTATTTATCACTAATCAAAAACAAAAGTAATAAAACAAAGTCTAACTTTATTTTGTCTCGCATACAATTCTTTTTAGAGAATATACACTGTTGCTCATAAAGTTGGAATGTTTTTTGTTTACCCCAATTTATGGAATTAAAGTGACAATGATTTATTCCTAATAGATCTAAATAATAGAATACATTCTCAGATTTTATTGAATAACGATTTGTCAGTGTTTGTTTTACGTAACTGCTAAAGCATGTGTATGCTGCTATGCTTATCAACTAGGGGACCAGTACGCCCTTAAGTCATAAATGACAGTAATGAGGATTAATTGCCCACAAAAAGGCACTCAATATAGCACATCGACACGGTTTTGATCCTGGGGCCTCACAGTTACTAGGCCATTGCTTTGTCACCGAACCATGACTGTACGCAAAGGGGGTTAGGGTGGGGGGGGGGGGGCAGTTCACACAAATAAAAAACAAACAAAGAAAATGCAATAAATAATTCATTGCATTTTACCCCGGTCCCCAAAATTAAAAAAATCCTCTGTACGGCTATGCATTACGGCTTAAGGCATGGGCACGCAGAAGTATTTTTTCTGTTGGGGACCGGGGGAAATGTGAAGATTGGAAAAACATAACAAAACAAAACAGACAGAGAGAACATGTAATGCTTGGAATCAGATTATATTCTAACCCGAAAATCTATATATTATATACGGCGAAGTAAAAAGCAATACAGATTAAGTGATAAACAACCTGTAAAAAAGAATCGCCTTATAAGTTTATAACACTTTTTAAAATAGAATTGATTATGTCTACTGGACAGGATTAGGCCTATTCAATCTCACGTTCCTAACGTACACAAAATTTAGATGGGGTAAAATGGGACCGAGCGTTTACGGTCCGGTTCATCCAAACTATATAGGGAAAAGAACAACAATAAAAAAAAACCTTTAAATATTTCTTTCTCAAATTTTCATCATAAAAAACATCATTGTGTAATATTGAGTAAAATCAGCCCTCTGTATGATGCAGAGTACTCAGAACAACCAGGCGCGTACGCAGGGGGGGGGTTGAACCCCTCCCCCCTTTAACCTTTTTTTCTGTCAAAGTTTTGGAGGACCCCCCTTTTTTTTATTACTAAAACAAATACAAATAGTGGTAATGGATGACCCAAAAACTGACCTTACCCCCACCCCCCCCCCTCACGAAATGAAGCTTCTGCTTTAATCCAATCTGTAAAGCGCTTATAGCGACATCTTCGATGAAAGTGATATTTAAACCCAGAATATCATTATCAGGCATATATTGTTATCATATATTTTTACGGATACAGGAAATGGACTTTTCACGATCGATTTTGACTGTATGCATCCGAGGTCTGATCAGATCCAAACCTGAATGGGACTTGAGGGTTATACTTAATGGATCTTAAATTAGGAATGAAAAAGTTTTAAAAAAAACAAGCGGACCCTTTTTTTATTTTTGGTCTCGAATTTGAAAATTTGACATTTTGCTCCGTTGGGGGGGGGGGTAAGGTCACCTTTCTTAGGTCAGCCATGGGGGTGATTTTTTTTTTTTTTTTTTTTTTTTTTTTTTTTTTTTAAATAATTAAAAAATAAAAAATAAAAAAAAAATCCAAAGGGGGGGGGGGGGGGGGGGGGGGGGGTTTCGGGATTTTTTAGGGGGGTTCACACACATAAAAATACACAAAAAGGGGGGGGGTTTAACCCCCCAAACACCCCCCCCCCCCTGCGTACGCGCCTGCCCATACCCCCTTCCCCCCACCCCCACAAAAAAAAATCAGAAAGCTGTGATTGCGAGCGCACTTCAGAGTTAGCTTCCTGAACGATATCAATAACGGCTCGAATTAAGACTAGTACGAAACACGATAACAACCAAAAGTAAGAACTCCTTTGATCGAAGACGTTGTTTCTCACCT